GCGGAGATATTGCGGGCCAAGGAGGAGGCCCGCCGAGAGATGCTGGGGACTCTGAATAGAGACCCGTGGGGACGCCCGTACCTAATGGTACGCGACAAGCTCCGTGCTTGGGCTCCCCCGCTCACTCAGAGTCTCCGGCCAGAAGTCTTGGAGGAGGTGATTGGCGCCCTGTTCCCCCGACTGTGGAGGGGCTTCACCCCTCCGTATATGACTCCGCCCCCTGCGGTGCCCGACGCGGGCTACAGCGACGACGACGATGACATCGTCCCAGAGGTGACCGAGGCAGAATTGAGAGCGGCGGTGCGCCGGATGGGCGCCAAGAACACCGCCCCAGGACCCGACGGCCTGCATGGCAAGGCATGGGTCCTGGCCTCAGAGGCTCTCGGGCCTCGATTGATTGGTCTCTACAGCGCATGTCTGGAGAGAGGCCAGTTCCCGCTTCTCTGGAAAGCGGGCAAACTGGTCCTCGTGCGGAAGACGGGGCGCCCTGCGGACTCTCCGTCCGCGTACCGGCCCATAGTGCTGCTCGACGAGGTGGGGAAAGTCTTCGAAAGAATCATTTCGAACCGCCTCGTCGCGCACCTGACGGACATTGGGCCGGACTTGTCGGACGGCCAGTTCGGCTTCCGCAGAGGGCGGTCCACGGTGGACGCCATCATGCGCGTTAGAGACCTCACGACGGGGACTGCAGTGTCCAGGGGTAAGGTCGTAGTGGCGGTGTCTCTGGACATCGCCAACGCCTTTAACTCACTGCCCTGGAGCTGCATCTTGGAGGCACTCCGATATCATCGGGTGCCTACCTACCTCCGTCGTGTAATCGAGGCTTACCTGACGGACAGGTCCGTCAGCTACCCCGGTCACCGGGGCGAGTGGAACCGGCGAGAGATGTCACGCGGTGTTCCACAGGGTTCGGTTCTGGGGCCGCTCCTGTGGAACATCGGCTATGACTGGGTGCTGCGCACCGACCTCCCGAACGGCGGCGTTAGCACAATATGCTACGCCGACGACACGCTGGTGCTAGCGCACGGGAGGTCGCACCAGGCGGCGGCCGACTTAATGGCGACAGCGGTTGCGACAGTCGTTGAAAGAATCCGGCAGTTGGGACTCGAGGTGGCGCTCCACAAGTCCGAGGCCATGTGTTTTCATGGCCGCGGGAACGCGCCACCTCCGGGTGGGTCCCAAATAACGGCGGGAGGGGTTACCATCGGCGTCGAGACGGCGATGAAGTACCTAGGACTCGTCCTCGACAGTCGGTGGAACTTCATAGAGCATTTCCGACGTTTGGCTCCAAAGTTGGAGAGGACGGGGGCTGCGTTCAAACGCATCCTCCCCAACCTCGGGGGGCCAAACGCCTCCTGCCGGAGGTTATACGCCGGGGTCGTGCGGTCCATGGCCCTCTACGGCGCCCCTGTTTGGGCGCCGAACTTGTTGCGGCGTCCTGCTCGGACGCTGCTCATGTCACAGAGGGTCATGGCGATCCGAATGATCCGCGGATACCGCACGATCTCTGGGGAGTCGGCGAACCTCCTTGCCGGATCACCGCCGTGGGATCTGGAGGCGAAGGTGCTCGCGCGCGTGTATAACATGCGCGCGGAGGCACGTCGCCGGGGCGAAACTCCGCTGCCGCGCCAGATAAGTGCGTGGCGGGATGAGCTCCGGCGCGATCTCATGGCGGAATGGCAGCAACGACTGTCGCAACCGAGGGCTGGGCTCGCTGCCATTGCAGCGGTAAGTCCCCTCTTTGAGGAGTGGCTTGAGAGACGCTACGGCGTCCTCACCTACCGCCTGACGCAGGTCCTCACCGGACATGGAAGTTTCGGGAGGTACCTGTGTCTGATGGGGCGGGAGGAAACGCCCGGGTGTCATCACTGCGAGGACCGCCCTGAGGACACGGTGGAACACACGTGGGAGAATGCCCTGCGTGGGCTGAGCACCGCCGTGCCCTCAGGGAAGTGATCGGCGATGGCGACCTCTCGCGTCCGGGCCTAGTGCAGGCCATGATGCGGAGCGAGGGGGACTGGGATGCCGTCTCCTCCTTTTGCGAAGCAGTCATGCTAGCTAAGGAGGAGGCGGGACGCGCGAGGCAGCGAAGCGCTGCCTCCTCGCAACCCAGCCATCGCGAAGGACACACCGGGCGTCGGGGATCGCGGGACGATCTCCGGCCACCGTAAGCGCGGGCCTGCGGACGGCGAGCATGGGTGGCTCCCCGTCCGACCAGAAACAGACCCGAGCGTACGGCGCGTCGCGTTCCGCGCGCGCCTCAAAGAGCCATCAGACCACCACAGATGGGGCCCAATAGGGCCGATGCCGGTTCGGAGTCGCGGAGAACCTAACGGGTAACCGGGGCTCCGGCTCGACGTGCAAGAGAAGGAACGGGGTGGTTTTTAGTCAGTAAGAGTCTGACACTCCCTTCCGCCTCACCCAGGCGGGAGCAGTCATTCGATGATTTTCCCCCCTTAAAAAAAAAAAAAAAAAAAAAAAAAGACTTTTATGGCAGATAAACCGCTAAGGGATTTGGAATTGACACAGATGAAGTGAAACCTCTATCTAAAGCTAACTCGCCTATAAATTCTGCGCAGGCGCCACGTCTATTTCTGAACACCGTTAATCCTATAGCAAATGTAGTATGACCAGTATCCGAGGGAAATTACTGTAAAGCTATAATTATATAGAAAATATCAACCGACATTAGGATGCTCGTAGCATTAGCGTTAAATTAGTATTTTTATTCAACATCATCAATCTCCACAGTGCGTGTCTACATAAGAGGGTTTATCATAATCTCCATGTTTGACTACTTACCCGGTTGTAGATTGATCAGAGAATATTGATTCAGGGTTTCTGATAAATTTTGTAGTCTTCAGTGGACTTATACTATTTGTATTCGCGTATTTCTGTTACAACTACGACAACCACGAAATGGCTAGTATTCTCGTGGTTGTCATGGTGCTGACAATTGGGTAGTTTCCAGGGTACCAAAATTAAAAATCCAATTAGTCCGTCAGTTAGATAATGAAATAATATTACACACGTATTTTTTATTTTTTCGTGGTACTTAGATAAAATGGCGCTAAGTTTGGGAGTGGGAGGTCGTTACGTCATAACGTGCTACAAAATGTGGCACGCTGTGACGTCACACGATATTTCAAATTAATATAAATAATACAAATTAATACAAATATCGTCGAAAGTATTTAATTTTGTGATAAAAGAAAAAATACGTGTCTAAAGTTTTAAATTAACGGACCCGTCTGGTACGTACATTAAAATAAAATTTAGGAAACTATCCTATTGTATTTTATTCAGTTGGCATTGCTAATTTAACAAGATCGGTGAATTAACTAAAATTTTCTTCAGTTCTATATTTGTCCATCTGCATAAATATTTTGTTTCTCTATAAATATGAACTTGCAGTGAAATGACTTCCAGTCTGCAGGAAGAGAAAGCCGATCAAGATAGTACATTATTGATCACTCAATATTATACCTGATAATCATAGAGACATAGATTATAGATTAGTGTATATTCTTAGAATGAATAGAAAAACTGTAAGTACGGAATAACCTTAAAATATACAACACTCATCTCGGGATTCATTGATGAGGATTTTTTAATACCTGGCTGTACAGAGGTTATGATCCATAGCGGTTGACAGTTCACTACTAAAATATGAGCCCCCATGAAAGTGTTTGCTATAAATCCCACGCTTGGCATTGCCAGACTGCTTTTGTCTGGTCCTTGATTTTGCCACGTAAGTTATAAAATCAAAGTCAAAGCATTTATTTCAATTAAACCATAATTTGGTACTTTTGAAACGTTAACAAATACAAAATAAATAATAGTCTGTCAGTCAGACCGTCAGTGAAACTAGGTGAAGCTAGGTGCTCATTCCAAAATGTAGATTCGAATGGAGAAGAACGAGCAAGAAACTTCTTTCGTTACTCTTTTTAAAAAAGTATGTTCTACAATGTCTCTGATATATATTCCAATACTGTATGTATATGTGAGAACAATGCAAAGACACGCTTGACGCATTATACTAATTACAAAACTTACTAAAATAAAAAAAATCTTATAGTCTAACATAGTGCTTACATACGCATATTGACAATCCATAAAAATTGTGTTTCTTTACAAGAAAAAGGAAACTCTTTGTTTCAATAAAGAAATAAATGCTCGATGCAATATTGCCAGATCTGCAACAAATTTTGCACCTAAAGCTATTCCACATTCTCGTCAACCGATACCACAGCAAATTGACCAATGAATGCAACGTTAGTATTAAATATTACTTATCATTTAAGTATTGAATAATTATTCAACATGTTGACGGATGAAAATATTTAGTACTAAGTAATTTACATGTCGTAAGGCTAATTACTAATAGTAGTCTTGTAGAAATGTGTAATTATAGGCTAAGAAAGAAATTAGACTGATAGACTGGTTTCCTATACCAGGTTATGTGGGGAAAACCCCATTTCTTAAAGTAATTTACTACTTATGTATAAAATGTCTTGGAAGTAGTATGGTGTCTAGATTTTGCCCAGTATATGTAAGGTAGTAAAATTGATTCATTTTACATAGGATTCTTAAGATAATTGATGGAAATAAGAGCTTTTTGACAAAATAAAACAGATATGTTACATTAAACGACATTAATATAATATACTGTTGCAGAATATAATTGAAAGTTTCAATTCTTGAATAGGTAATATAAAGTCATTTTTTTCATTTCCTTTTTGTATGAAAATATAATGAAATTTTGCAATTTTCATGCACTTTGATACCCTATTCAACCAACAGGAAAAGATAAGTAATGTGTTTTCATTAATTCAATTTCATCCCCGCCTAATGTGTAGTATTATTCTGTGAAACAATGACGCGAAGTGACCAGCCGGAGTGGTGCTGGCCAGTGTGACGCTAACTGTACAGTGAGGCGCGCGCAAACTGTGCGCTCCCCAACGCGCATGAAGTGATACGAAAGTGCAAATAAAGAAAAAATGGTCTGCAAAATACTACCAAAAATACAGAGCCGTAAGTACTATTTACGATTTTATTTTTATACAATTTATTCACAAATTAAATGAAACTTTATCCATTTAAATGTAAGTTCTCAATATTACTTAAGTAAGTACGATATAATATTTTTTGTGTAATCATAGTAATATTGATTACTCAACTGGTTTAAGTATGAGTTAGGAATCGAACCCGTAATCGTGGAAAATCCTCAGTTTCACCGGCACGTAACATCGTTATCGTGAAACGCTCGCGCTAACTTAGAAAACGGAAAATATACGATAAAGCGGCAATAAAAAGCTATTGAATGTGTTTTACAGCTGTAAAAATCTGTTAGAAATTGCAATTTAGCGCTATCAAAAACATAATTACGATTAAATACCAAAACTTATATAAGGATAAGTAAGGATTAATATCCGTTTTCCACCTTTCATCTTAAGGAGCTCCTAAGCTGAGATATGAACACAATACAAGTAAAGAGCTAGCTTAGGGGCTACGTAGGGCTAAGTAATTCTGAATTAAAAGATGGTTTAAGGGTGAAAATTGCCATAGTTTACTCAATAAGTACTTTCTTGTTATTTACGTATCATTTTAAAGGTTTTTTTTATTGTACCTAAATTATTCATTATAATAGGTTAGTTATGAAAATGATTTCAATTTTATTTATTATTAAATTAAATGGTTTAAATAAATGATCATTTTAAATGAAAAGAATAAACATTAATCAAAATACTTCATAACTTTATTTCGACAACGGCCTGGTTATTATAATTCTAGATAAAAATTTACTATTTACACTGCAGTTTTATATCTATATCTACGACGTGAAATATTTACAACAAAAAAAAAATTATTACCAAGATAGATATTTTTTTTTGTTTTTTTTCTTTTTATTTTCTGTGTTATCTTTAATTAAAGTTATCTATATGAATTTTTATTTAAAATGTAAAGCATAATGTACATAATTAATTTTAAATACATACAGATAAACAAATAACAGTAATAAGTTACAATATTGTTAATTTAAAATCTCAATTATCTATAATTATTTAATTTTACAATGTGTACTGTAAACTCATGTATGTATGTATGTGTGTAGGTAGGTATGTATGTATCTAATACTTTTTATTACATTTTTATATATTTTTTATTATTTAAAACTGAAGAGTTTTTTCATTGTTGTTGAACCAGTGATCAGATTTAAATTTTAAATAATTATTTTTGTGTTGGATACTTCATATCGAGGAAGGCTATAAACCATAAAACATCACGCAATGACTAATAGGAACCGAGCAGCGTATGAAACCGCGCGAATGTAGCTAGTGTATGAATGTATGTATGTTAACACATAACATGTTACGTTTGAATGAAGTTATCAAACTTATGATTCAGCTCCACAACATACATCCGACATTCGCCATAAAATTGTTTATATTACATTGTTCCGGCCTCATTGTAATGATTTGCTTCGGTTATTGTCGTTTAAGATGGACGGATGATTGTTCAGAGCAGATACATATATTGGGTTCGATCACTGACTGTGGTTCAATCGATTAACTATTAAGTATCTAGATTTATTAATGATTTGCCGGCTTACGTAATTATTTGACGAGGAGCTCGACTAGTTTCAAGCCACACTGGAGACTCATATTCATGTGCAGCATTCCGTGATAATTGACGTGTCGTGTACACATAATAATAATCATTAATTTAGTATTTCCACGAACGTTATAATATAAAGGTACCCAGCTGTTTTGCTTTTAAAGATTCCACTCTAATAGGATGACACCTGATCTCTAGTCGCTTCTATAATACTAAAACTATTTTAAATCAAGTCTATGAACTATAACAGTATCTTATACCCTGTATAATTAATTTATATCATAGCCTTAATATAGAACGTCTGACTGCATCGTTGGCGAAGTGGTAGTAAGTGCGACTGCCAGGCAAGGGGTTCGATTCCCGGGTTGGGCAAAGTATTACTGGTTTTTTTAATCGTAGTTGTAGCACACGGAGTATGGAAATGTGCTTGGTATATAACAATAGACTCACCCCTTAGTACATGGGACTCATAACATAAATAGTGAAAAGTGGGTGTTACACTGTACAGTGTCGTAATGTGCACTTCTGCCTACCCCTTCGGGGATAAAAGGTGTGATGTTATGATAATAATGTTAAAGTTTTATTTCTTTCTTTCTATGTTATGCTTAATATAGAATGATCTAGCATAGAATGATGGGATCTTTAAGATAAATGGCTAAATGCACAATGCCCTATACTTTTCTAGATCTACCATTAGTCAGCCTGTCGCGATAAACACTAGTTTATTCTAGAATAGTATATTATGATGTGTGTGTGAGTTTGAACCAACGAGACAATATAACCAAATATTGTACAGTGAACCTGATTAAAAAAGAGTAACTTGTGACGTTTCTTGCTCGTTCTTCTCCATAGGAATCTACACTTTGGAACGAGCAAATAGCTTCACTTGAGGACTGACCTACAGACTGAGTTTTCTTAATATTTTGTTTTGTAGTTCAAAAGGGCTTTTCTGGTCTAATTGAAATAAATGATTCTAACTTTGACTTTGACTTTGTGCGGCTGGTTTAAAATATACAGTTTAAACTAGTAAGCTGTTGGTTAAGCAAATATATGATTTGAATGATTACTCTGAATGAATCTATTTGTAGATATGATTAATATAGAGGTATATAGAAATTTGACACATTTTTATGTGGATTGTGTCATCATTTTTTCTCTATTCTGTGGTTTGTGATATGTAAACTTGGATTACGTGAAGAAAATTAAAATTATATCAAGTGGTGTAGGTATGTGGGATTGTGGATATATAGTAAATTAATAATTATATCAGTTAAGTTTATTAGAGCCTACGTCTATTAAACTTAATTACAACTATATAACTTCTTTTAACATACCTACACACATAATATCACGCCTTTCACCACCAAAGGGGTATGCAGAGGTGCTCATTACGGCACTTAATGCCACTGTACCTCTACAATGTAAGACCTACTAGTCACTATTTATGTTATGAGTACCATGTAATAAAGGGTGAGCCTATTGCTATATACCGGACCCAATTCCAGAGTCCGTGGAACTACCTACTGAGGTTATTTTTAAAAACCCAGTAATACTTTGCCTGACCTAGGAATCGAACCCGAGACCCCTTGCCCGGCAGTCGCACTTGCGACCACTCGGCCAACGACGCAGTCTATTTAACTTCTTTTAACTATATAAAGAAAATTATTCGAACAGAACTATTTTAATATTACTTTGCACATCTCTATTGAAAAATATGTTGCACTTTCATCTTCTTGCAATATTTTTTTTTATTATAAAACTACTTTTAATTAATGCTAATCAACATAATTTCTTAGCCTCAATGCCATTATAAATAAACACAATAATCATATTAACTGAAAATCACAGTTACTCACGTAAATATACTGCGAAAAGCTCAACTAGTTCCGAGTCACATAGGGACGAGCAGAATGGCTGCGCGACGTCGCCGCGACCATGAGGAAGAGTCCATAGAGTGTAACTCGTTATTTTTAGTTAGGTACCTAATTCAGTATATCTCACGATCATCATCATCAACAGCCTATACATGCCCACTGCTGAGCAAAGCCTCACACGGAGAAAGTTTGAGCATTAATCACAACGCTTGCTCAATGCGGGTTGGCGATTTCAAACTTATAATTAGAAATTATCAGCCAAAGTTTCCTTATGATGTTTTACTTCACCGGTTGTTAGTGGTGTGTACTTAATAATATAAGAAAGTACATTTAACCCATTTGGGCCCGCCGTCCCCATATGGGGACAGGTTTTCTTTTACCCCCTGGTTATTAATTATTTTAGCTATCTTCACATTTCATGGGTATTTATAATGAGGAGTAGTGTACTTTCCTAAAATTATTAGAACTTTTGACAAATTGCTACAAAAAAGGGGTCATATTGTCAATTTTATCAAGAGGAAGTGAAATGGGAATTATTATCGAAAGCAGAGGCGTTTTGTAGTACGTTATTATGAAGATTTATAAAACTTTTTTGTGATTATTGCTTGCTTATAGTGTCAATTAAAACAATATTGAAGAATATCCTTATACTTTCAATTCCGCTTAGGGGAAAGTTAGAAAAAATGATGGTGTCCCCGTATGGGGACAATGGGCACATCTGTAGTATATTTTTAAAACATTTATACCTGATTTATATTTTGCTTTCCAATTTATAAAGGTCACCTTTAGGCTAAACTTAGTTATAGCTAATACTTGATGACAACAGACGCTAATTCACGAAGAGCATCACCAATTCCGCCATATCTTTACGCGTTCATATTCTAAAATCTGATGGGCATCAAGACCGAAGATGCAAAAGTCCACCTACAGTACCAGGCGTCGCATCCGATATCAGAATTCAGCAGTAGGGGGCATTCTTCCTTCAGCTGTATTCTGGTGTCGTCACAGCGAAGTCCACCCCGAGGATAGAGTAGCATTATGCCCTGTATACGTTGACCACCGCCGTGTCTTCAGGGAAGTGATCGACGACGATAATCTTCCACGTCCAGCTTAGGTTCTGGCTGTGGTGCGGAGCGAGGGGAACTGGAAAACATCTCTTTCTGCGAAGCAGTCATAGTAGCAAGAACAGATCGCCGCCCAGAACCAGACCTGTACCTGTAAGGTGTATGGCGTTACGCGCGCGCTTCAAAGTGCAGATCAGACCGCTTTAGATCAAGATGGCTCAGTGGGACAGATGCCCGACTACTGTGAATAACCTGGCGGGTTCCGGGGCTTCGGCTTGAAGCAGAATTAGGAATATGTTGGTTTTTAGCCAGTAAGAGTCCCCCAGGTGGAAAAAGCAATGCCTGATTTTTACCCTCAAAAAAAATATAGTCGCGTCACATCAAATTGATTTAGACATTTTTCGCAGAGATTTAGTTAATATCTGTTACGACACGCAGTTCGTCATAAAAAAACTGTGATATCAATGCAAATAATGCGTTAGAACCTTATGTGTCGAAAACAGTTACTACTTCGAAAAGTACTACATATGAGACCGTTGTCCCCAATCAAGGACGGCATTTTTTTTAATACTTCTAAATATATTTTTTGAATTTTTTTTGCTGATATTAGTTTGTGGGCGTCATATCATTGAGTTAATAAAGTTTTTTTTATTAAATTATGTGTAGTTTACATTTGGTCCCAAATGGGTTAACTCGGAAAAAGTCATATTGGGCTTGCCGTTGGTAGGTTTCGAAACCGCACCCTCATCCATGAGGAGCGGGCGTCTTAAATCTTCGGGCAACCACGGCATTTTTTGTCTCACAATAGTTATTATAACATCTATAATCATAGTTACTGGGTAAAACACCTATTTTTCTATATGGCATAAGCCGGAAAACGAGCAGACGAATCACCTGATGATAAGCATCGGCGTCGCCCATGGACACCTGAAACACCGGGGCCTTACAAGAGCTTTACCGGCCGACCAGGAATTGGGGAAATTGGGCCTCCGGTAACCTCACTCACACGACAAAACACAATGCAAGAGTTGCTTCACGTCGGTTTTCTGTGAGGCCATAGTATCAATCCGGTCGAGCCGGCCCATTCGTGCCGAAGCATGGTTCTTCCATACTTTCATATAAATCCTATATTCATATAAATCCGATAATTTTAAATCCCCTAACAAATCCTATACTCTTTCTTAACCAAGTGTTCCGAGTAACGTAAGCAATAAGTACATACATCGTCCCCGAGATGAAACAATGATATAAAATAAAATAACACTCGCCTGCATCCATTGTGTGGTCTGCACATTGTATTGCCTTTATGAGATATGTTACTTAGCGGCACTGCGACGGAATTGTTATAAAATTATTGGCACAATACCTATAACAATTTTAGTTCTTTTCCGGGTGCTATAGGTATAATTTGATATTAAGATTTAGGTTCATCTCGGCACAGTTTAAACGCTATTGGCGCCAGTTATATTTCGTACTAACTATTCTCCACGACTTCGTCCTCGTAGAATATGATTCCTGTTTTATCCTATGAGAGTATCGTAATAAAAACTGCAATTACCTAAGTCAGCTCATACTTTGCCAAATTCTGTCAAAACTCATTCAGTAGTTTCAGCGTGATTCACGGACAAACGTCCAAACATCCAAGCAAAGGAACTTTCACATTTAAGAATATGTAGTGTGATGACATAAGATGATTCCCTCCTCTATTTTTGAAAGGAAAAAGTATCTCTTGTGGGTTATTTTATTACTTCTAGACTTCTCACCTACCAGTGGGTGTGTAAGCTATAAGTACGTATAACCAATAATAGTTATTTTTTGGTTTTTAGTTTTCGGTTGTTTTGGTTTTTGAAGTCGGTTTCTTTAAACGTAGTATTTTAATCAAGTTCATTATAGAGAAGGTGTATGTACCTATTTGGTGCATCATGCTAAGTGGCGAATAAATTACTTTTTCTTTCTTTTATACATGAATAATATAGTAATCTCTTCCGAATAAATAAATCCCTTTAATTAAGGAGAAGATTATTGTCATTCCGTACCATTTCACACTGTTCTGTTATTGATATTTCTCAATGAATAGCAAGGTCCATGCGTTGACATTTAAGAAGAAGCCTCTTGTTCTAGAATTAACCATTGATCTGACTTGTCCAATAATATTGAACGTGTTTATTAATTTATTTTTTTAGCAACGCGGCGGCCGCCTAGCACTGATGTTCAGCAGGATGCAATGCCGGAGGTGGCTGATTATGAAACAGCTTTAGACATTGCTGGTAAGTTCTTTGACTATTTTTTAATACTGCCACACACTAGGAGTATCTCTTGTATGTGCCGTGTTGGAATCGAACCTCCGCAATGCTAGTGTACATTAAACATCCTATTAATCGAATTCAAATCAGGCTGATATTTTCAAAAAATGGTTTTGAATTGAAGTAAGTAGTCGTTGGGTGCCATTTTATCACATTCTTCTTTACTGTTGTTTTTTTCGGAGTCGACAACTTTATAGTTAAGTAGTGGTACTGTATAATGTGTGTGTTAATTTTAATAAGTTATATTATGACTAAACTCATTAGTGAATTATGCAACCAACAAAATAGCAAACCAGTTTGATAATGAAAACAAAAACATCAACAAATATTTTGGGTCAATTAAAAGTACAATTATTTTGTGGTTGTAACTCATTTACGGCAATACCATCACTGTTCACTGTTCATTCAATATTCGTTATAAATCATTGTTTATTTTACTTGTTCATAATCGTTTTGACATTCCATACACATTTATTTTCGTTTCTTAGTCATGTGCCTACCCTAATGGGAGACAGGCGTGAGGTTATGTATGGATTTATTTAAATTGCAATTATGTAATGTAGTTAATAGTAATATTAGGTTCAGTAGATAACTGGTTTAAAGTAGTTATTACCTACCAATTGTGTTAGTGTTCTTCTAGAAAATAAAAGACGTTACCTAGAAATTCCTTTCTAAGTACCGGACAGTCATATCAAAGATAAATACTTTTCAGTTTTCTTAAAACTGCATTCGTACGTCAATGACTTCTTACTAGGAAGCTACTGGAGAATCCATATTGATGATTATCGGAATACCATTAATCTTCAGATAGGTCAATGGAGGGAAATGACCAATCGTCGCAATCATCACGTATTGATGATTCCTCCTCATGAGGGAATGATGTAATCTTGTTGATGGGATGAACTAGATAACTTGTTATGTACCTATCATGTAATAAGTTCTTTAATACTAAAAAAAAATATTACGATGTATCTACTAACCACCAGATGTCTACACACTTCTGGTCTACACTTCAGGTAGTTAGTACCTAGGCTTTCTGTTTTAACCGTAGTCATAGCAAAGAGACTGTAGGCTCACTGCCAATGCAGCGGTAAGTCCCCTCTTTGAGGAGTGGCTTGAGAGACGCTACGATGTCCTCACCTACCGCATGACAAGTCCTAACCGGACATGGGAGCTTTGGGAGGTACCTGTGTCAGATAGGGCGGGAGGAAACACCCTGATGTCATTACTGCGAGGACCGCCTTGAAGACACGGTGGAACACACAGTAGGGGAATGCCCTACTTGGGCTGAGCACCACCGTGCCCTCAGGGATATGGTCGGCGAAGGCTACCTCTCACGTCTGGCCCTAGCCATGATGCGGAGCGATGGGGACTGGGATGCTGTCTCCTCCTGTTGCGAAGCACTCATACTAGCTAAGGAGGAAGCGGAAGCAATCGGCGCCATCCATGAACTTTCGTAACACCAGAGGCGTTACAAGTGCGTTACCGGCCTCTTGGGGATAGGAATTTGTCGTCGGGGTTTTTGGGTTTGAGGAAATTAGGGAGGGAGGTAATTGGGCCTTCGGTAACCCTTTGCTCGTAATCTACATCTCATTTAAATACACGTGTTGCATTAACTTATGGTTCAAATACAATCTCAGTTCAAGTAGTGCAGTATTTTCACGTGCGTGAATAATAACAATTACTTAGTTTTTAATTGCCATCGCTTCTTGTTCCGTCACCATATGATCGATAGTAATTGCTTCACGCTGTTTAAATAGATCTATGTGTTCTAATTGTGTGGTGTATTGTGTTCATTAGATATTAATTTTATCAATCATAATTCTGACCCTCTGACGTCTCTTGTTGTTTTTTATAGCGACCCTTCGAGGGCTTAAGTTAACGTCTGTACTCTACTCGGATTTGCTCGGATGCTTTCAGACATATTCCTACCTTCACCTACACAATAATTCGTCACTCTTCAACAATCGACCATCTGAAAGATAGCAGTTATCCAAATATTGCAATAAAATTTTAAGTCAGCTAATAAAATAAGATTAATTTACATTATTATTTATTAAAGTGTGAATGGTTAGTAATCGAAATAAACGTCGGGTTGACGCTAATATGTTGTTTTATGATGAGAGAAAATAAACCACAATAGGCTAGTTTCCTAAATTTTATTTTAATGTCCGTCCGGTAGATTATTAAATAATCTAATAATCGAAAGTATTTAATTTTGTGAGAAAAGAAAAAATACGTGTATGTATATTGTTTTAAAAATTAAAAAAAAAATACGTGTCTAATATTTTTTTATTATCTAACTGACGGACTAATTAGATTTTTAATTTATCGAAATTAAACCCTGGATACTTCCTAATTTCTGTAAGGCGAGATATTTTTTATTTATTAGTTTCTTACTGATTAAAAATCACACATTTCCTTCTCCTGCTTTGAGCCGTAGTCCCGGTAACCCTTGGGGTAACCCTTCTCCGCAGTAGGTTCAAATACCAAAATGTATAGCTAACAATAATCTGTAATTTAGGTATAATACCTACTTTATCTTATCATCAAATAGTAACTAGACAAACTGCATTGCTATCGTATTTATTGATATATCAATAGTTTCACGTATAGATAAACTTTAGCACGTCGCTATGAATAGACAGTCAGAAGTATTCGTCCTATGGTTGATATGACGATGATGACATATCTAATTAAGATAATAATGTAAGGTTTGATCTAGTTACATAGAAATTACAACTATTATATTTATTTATTCATTTACTAGATGACCCGGTACACTTCGGTCCGCCTAAAATATTTTTCTAACCTTTTAAAACTTCACTGGACTTCTACGACCAAATTCAATACCAAAATTAGCAAAATCGGTTTAGTTATTTTCGAATTTTAGCGAGACTAACGAACGGAAATTCATTTTTATTTATATAGATAAATAGATTTACACTTTTTGTACAATACACAATGGCGGGCTTAATGCCTAGTGGCATTCTCTAACAGTCAACCTTAGAAGAGCTGGGTGGAGGAGCAAGGTGATGCTATTTTGACTGCAGTATTGGAATTGGCTGGATATCTGCACTGTTGCACTGCACTACTGCACGGTTGGCGCGGTGGCTGCCGCGCAAAGTGTTGCGGGTTCGATTCCCGCACGGGATAACTCTTTGTGTGATCCACAGGTTGTTGTTCCGGGTCTGGGTGTCATGTGCATGTGAACTTGTATGTTTGTGAACGCACCCACGACACAGGACTGACTGTTGCGCAAAATGGCGCGTGTTCGATGCATTTTTCATTCCGGGTCTTGGTGCGCTGTGCATGTGTTCATAAACGTACCTATGACAGAGAAGTTAACAAATAATAGTGAGAAACAATATACTTTTAAGCGTGAGAGAGCCATGCTTTAGCACGAATGGGCCGGCTCGACCGGAGTGATACCACGGCCTCACAGAAAACCGCCGTGAAACAAAGATTGCGTTATGTTTCGTCGTGTGAGTGAGGTTACCGGAGACCCAATTAGAGAGTGAGGGAACAGAGAGCGTACCTTGGTTTGCGCACATACTTGTGCACTATAATATCTCCTGCGTATGATGATCACAATGATCGAAATCGATCAGCTTTTTCTTTATGTTATGTTAATACATGCATGAAAATATAATAGAGAAACACTCGTCGGACGGAATAACACTAAATGATAATGTTTATTTTAAAAATGTCATATCTGTCCTTAACTCGTCGAGTACCGGTTTTATAGACACAATTAAAGAACAATAGGTCGCGGTCACCGGTAACCGCTTGGTGTTTGACAGTTTAAACTGGAATGAAAACCTCCAATACATAAGTGTTGATTGTCGTTTAAAGTAGTAGTTAGGCTGAACAGTTATGTAACTGAGTGGTAAACACAGTTATTTCTAGACATATCACCAAATTCGTTTAGTACACATAAGCGTTTAAGAAAAACTGTTTAGTAAATTGAACTTTAACACATACACATAGGTACTAATGTAGTACGCTAAAAACTATTAAACTAATATAGGTAATAGTGTAGCAGGTACGTTAAAAACTACTGACATAGTCAAAATTTTAGGTACTTCTGACAGCATTTTTTTAAGGGGGGGAAAATATCAAATGACTGCTCCCGCCTGGGTGAGTTGGAAGGGAGTGTCAGACTCTTACTAACTAAAAACCACCCGTTCCTTCTCATGCACGTCGAGCCGGAGCCCCGGTTACCCGTTAGGTTCTCCGCGACTCCGAATCGGCATCGGCCCTATTGGGCCCCATCTTGGTCTACTCGGTCGACCTCATCGTTCGCTTGATAAAATTGTCGTGTAAAAGTGCTGCCTTGTACCCTATTTGCAGAAATAAATTCACTTGTTTCTCTTATTCACTTGTTACTGTGATATTTTTTTTTTTTTATTAAAGAAAGCGTTGCCCCGCACTAGGATTTTCTACTGTGTCGTGGGGACGTTTACAAATATACAAATTCACATACACATGACACCCAGACCCGAAACAACAATTTGTGGATCACACTAAGTGTTGTTCCGTGCGGGAATCGAATCCGTTGGTTTCGAATAATAACCCAACCATTCGAAACGAGTACGCGTTTGGCACTCTGATTGGCCGGCGCCAATGAAGCAACCAATCAGAGCGCCGAACGCGTACTCGTTACGATTACTTTACGTATACCTTACAAACTCGTACTAAGGTTACGAGATGCGTCGACCAGGCGTTTCGAAATGTTTTTAAATAAAGTATAGGGACTCGGACCCCACGGACCTAACGTCTCAGCCCCAAATGGCCATGTACTATAAAATTATAGTTTCCGATAATATTCTATTTTAACTGACTGCCTCGTTGGCCGAGTGGTCGCAAGTGCGACTGCCGGTTAAGGAGTCTCGGGTTCGATTCCCGGGTCGGGCAAAGTACTACTGGGTTTTTATAAATTCTCAGTAGTTGCACGAAGTCTGGAATTGTGCCCGGTATATGGCAATAGGCTCACCCCCTATTACATGGGACTCATAACATAAATAGTGAAAAGTGGGTGTTACATTGTACAGTGGCATAATGTACACTTCTGCCTACCCCTTCGGGGATAAAAGGCGTGATTTTATGTTATGTTATGTTTTATTTTAAGTAAAAGCAGTAGAAAGGTCGTCGACCTCATTACTGTTGGATATATACTAATGCCTGTTTCAGCTTTAATACGATACTAAACTTATACTTTAATGACGATGATTTCTATAAATAAATAAACGATGGGACTTGACTCAATGCTTAGGTTAACATTTTATTACTAAGGTTCACAGTTTTATAGAAATTTCTCTATTACAGGTAATATATCAAACTATTTGTTTATGTCAAATGGTTTTAATGAGCTCAATTTTACCAGTCAAGCCCTTTCTTCACCATCATCAGACCACCACAGATGGGGCCCAATAGGGTTGTTGCCGTTTCGGAGTCGCGGAGAACCTAACGGGTAACCGGGGCTCCGGCTCGACGTGCAGGAGAAGGAACGGGGTGGTTTTTAGTCAGTAAGAGTCTGACACTCCCTTCCGCCTCACCCAGGCGGGAGCAGTCGTTCGATAATTTTCCGCCTTTTAAAAAAAGCCCTTTCTTTAGACGTTTATAATGGAGACAGTTGTAGAAAAAATTAGATTATAATATTGTATGGTCATCAAGATTAGGAGTGTGTATCAAATATCAGATCGAACTTTCGTCAAGACGGGGGTAAAATACCAATACTAGGCCCAAACAAGTAAAGGGCGCAAACTAAATACAAACGTTTAATAATTTAAATCATAAACACATTGACAAACAAAATATAATCACTGTATGTGGGTCGTAGACGGTTTTTTTAAACGAAGTTTATAATACTTAGATAAAAACAACAAGGAAACGGAAAGAAAAGGAAGGACCCCTCTGTGGTTCGAAACTAGTAGAGCTTTTCTCAGTATATTCACGTGAGTAACCGGCGGTTTTACTTAACTTAAATAAAAATTAATAAAGAGCCATCAGTTCCTACATTTGAACAGAAGGCCTGAACCTGCCTGTGTGTAGGTATTTTAAAATTACACCTGAAATAATAATTACATATCTGCCTATCTTTAATGAATAGATTGTTAGTATTAAAGGAGATAGTCTAGAGTTATTGTATAGTCTAGATTTCAGGTATAATAATATAATTATCTCTAATAGTGTTAGCCTTTAGGCATTAGGCCTTTGTGTTTAATGATAATATCGTCTCTTTCTTTTTTTTTTCTTTTTTTACCGTTGTCCCACATAAGGATTTTCTTCTTTGTCGTAGGTGCGTTTACAAACATACAAATACACATACATATATAATACCCAGACTCGAAACAACAATCTGTGGATCACACAAAAAGTTGTTCCGTGCTAAGAGGAATCGAACCCGCGACACGTTGCGCGGCAGCCAGTTACCCAGCCACCGCGCCAACCGTGCAGTCAAAGTCTTTATTAAGTCGTTATGTGACACTTAAATCTACTGGCTTAAGTATTACATACGTCATAGTTATTGAGGATGTCAACTTGAACGTTTGTTTCTCTTTAACTCAAAACCTACTGAGCGGATTAAGATAAAATTTGGCACAAAGATAGATTCAAATCTGGAATAATATTGTTAGTTTTTTTCTGTGTACAGCAATAAGTTTGCTATTGCCAAACACAATCAGATTAATCCGACAACAATGCAGTTGAAGTTAGATTTACTTAGTAATCTAGATTTAATCTTGTGTCGAGAAGAAAGTAGCGCGTGTCTTTGCACGTGTGAACATTCGTCATCATCTAATAATACTCTTACAAATGTATCGTAGAAAAGTTAATAAAAACTCTTGGAACATTTCATACAATTAACTATTATAGCCATTTACTAAATATTATTGTTCCAAGATCTACTGTTGAAAAGATACCATTGTTACCTTTCTCGTACGTATAAATTAACGTGAATTCAATTCGTAATCGTTGTGACTTCTATAACGTAAGCATTGGCACTGTTTTCATACTAAGATGTGTTTTGTAGTCACTTATTATAGTGAGAACTTTGTAAATAGTAGGGGTTGTTACAAAGATGTTGAATTTCGAACTTTAGTGCCATGGTGATAATGTGTGTTATTGATTGATTTTGAACATGTTTTAATATTTTGATTTGGCAAATGCATCTATAATTTTGAATTTGTTTTAATATTTTGATTTGCACAGCTGCATAGCACATGCAGCTATGCACATGCAGCATGAGATGTAAGATAAGTTACCACCCCTGCTCTCGCTGTGGGTGTCGTTGGACTACATCGGACAAAGATCGGGGAGCAGTACCTAATTTAAATTTTATTTTTTGTTATATAAAACAAAGTCGTGTTAGTTACACTATTTATAACTGAACAGCTAAATTGTTTTGAATGAAAATTGGTTAGGAGGTAGCTTAGAACCAGAAGATTGGCATAGGATACTTTTTACACAAGGATTTTCCAAAAATCCTACAAAGTGGCGGGCAGAAGGTAATCTGATTTTTTTTCAAACTCAAACTCAAAAGCATTTATTTCAATTAAACCATAATTTGGTACTTTTGAAACGTCAACAAATATGAAATTAATAATAGTCTATCAGTCTGTCCGTTAGTGACGCTAGGCGCTCGTTCCAAAATGTCGAGTGGAGAAGAACGAGCAAGAAACTCCATTCGTTACTCTTTTTAAAAAAAGTCTGTTTTACATTGCTCCTAGCCTATTTTAATTACGATCTCCAACCCGCCTAGCCTGTCAATTGTGGGGATTATAGACAATCTTTGACTTAGATTTAAAAGATGTCTACAGTTCAACATTTACTGTCACAATCTATTGATGTTAAAACACACTTAGATAGAATACGTTCAATATAATATTAGCGTTTAGACAGTTCAGTTTTGCTTATCAAAACCAAGACAGTACATCTCTCTGATGTTATTACTCGAGCCACGTACAACTGGCTCGCATTCCTATTTGACAACTAAACATGCTACAAACTAGACATTATCTATGATCTACATTCTAGATTTTAAAGTTAATTATTGCTGGCTGACTGTTTCGTTGGCCGAGTGGCCGCAAGTGCGACTACCGGGCAAGGTCTCGGGTTTAGATTCCTGGGTTTCGCAAAGTATTACTGGGGTTTTCGAAAAATCTCAGTAGTAGCACGAAGTCTGGAATTGTGCCCGGTATATGGGAATAGAATAGGCTCATCCCCTATTATATTATTATATGGGACTCATAACATAAATAGTGAAAAATGGGTGTTACATTGTACAGTAGCAATAGGTGCCATAATGTGGGCCTCTGCCTACCCCTTCTAGGATAAAGGCGTAATGTTATGTTATTTTTTTGCTTATTGGTTTTAGTTATGAATTGGTGTCTACTGTGCTGAGGTGGACTGCAAATTAATGTTTTGCAAAATATAGAATCTGAAATAGTGGTCTATGTTTGGGTGTTGCTGTTGTTATTCCATGGAATATGTATTTAATTGCATAATTGTTATTACGTAATAGGTAATGTGTGAAATTTTAGTGCACTTTAAATTACGTCTTAAAATACCTGTTAAAGGCTTTGATAAGATAAAAAAATGTCAGTAGGTATTACAAACAAAAGGGTGTTCTCGCTCCAAAATTGGATCCCAAATGGTTTCAGAGGAATTTCCTCCGACAGACTCTCCGATTATGGAAAACCACGGCATAAGCTACAACAAGGGTTTCTTTAAGAATCCCTTCTTAAAGAGGTTTTTCAAGGGTCGGCAAAGCGCATGTAATGCCCCAAGTGTAGCAAGCGTTGCTTTTTTGCCACCATCGTGGTATAGAAAAAAAACACATTTGTATATAGATCACTTTAAAAATCCTCTTACTTAATTTTGTTTTCCAAAATATCTATATCTGTACGGTGTTATCGTTCGTGCCTAACAGATGGCGCTGATGTTGAAACAGATATTATTCGCTTACACTCGTTTTGAATGCATTACATTGTTTACAGTTAAATATTTTAAACCTTATTAACAAACTAATTTTCTCTTACAGGATACGGCCGCTTTAGTAGGAGCGTGCTGGGCGCGTGCGCAGTATCGTTCTTTGCATCAGGAGTCCAGAACTGCGTGATGTCATACGTCCTGCCTGCTGCCAGGTGTGAGCTCGAACTCACCACTTATCAGGCTGGACTGATCAATATGGCGTTTATGAGCGGTAAGTTCATTTTAAACTGTTTTTTAGGAGATTGGGTGTTGGCTGAGTTGATTATTGAGTAAATAGCCAAGTTGGTTTTTTAAATATAATAAGGAGATCACTTAACCATGTTCATATAACTCACTATGACCGGTGGAACTTTTTTTTCTTCAGTGAAAACGTGAGCCAATAGTTTAATACTTTGCATTGAATAGAATAGCGAAAACTCGTTCAAAAAGTTATTAATTGTATAAAGAATTGAAATACATAAGTAACTTACTACTTTACATATCGCTTGCCACCAGGCGGGATAGTGGTCAAACGTCGGCCCATCAAATATAAAAAAAAAACTTATGGTATATCTTTGTTCAACCACTATCTGGTCAAGACACTTACAACTTACAATACGTACTTACCAGATACCGTTGTGCATCGTAAAATCTCTGTTTATTGGGTGCCGTATCATACATGAATGTAAAGTCCTAAGACTGTGCTGTCCGTCTGTAAGTCAACATTTCACTCAGGTTCCTGCCTCGCACAAAAAAACTGTGGAATGATCTGTCGTCGGCGGTATTTCCGAACCGATACGACCTTCAAACCTTCCAGAAAAGAGCGTATTCCTTCTTAAAAGGCCGGCAACGCACATGTGACTCCTCTGGTGTTGCGCGTGTCCATGGGCGGCGCTGATCGCTTACCATCAGGTGATCCGTCTGGTCGTTTGCCCCCTATTTCATAAAAAAGGTTGATCTCATGGACCATTATGACTGGACAGTTGAAACTTTGACAGATACTGTGTTTCTGTTGCTACTACAGCAAGAAAAGTTAAAAAACAAATTGATATTTGTGGCTTACATCCAACAAATGTAACTTTAGTTTACAATTTCTCTTCGATAGGTACCTACTTATATAAATTACGGCACACTTGGCGCGTCAAATTCACACTTGACCAATTTCTTAGGTTAGTTTAACGTGTGTCGTTAAGATTTTTATAGACTGCGAAATAGGTTTTTGTTTTATGAACCTGAAAGGTTATTTGGAATGTCACTGAACACTAGGTCAACTGAACTTAGTCTGTAAGTCATATACAATAATGGCTAAATTATCTTGTTTATTATTCCTATTACTACGGATTTTTATTAGCACGATGGTAGGGAACTTAATCAACTTAGTTCTCATAATTTACTCAAAACCTGTGTGATAACAGATCATTATTTAAACCACCAATAGCATATTTGCATTGACAATAGAACCTTTTTTTAAGGGGGGAAAATCATCGAATGACTGCTCCCGCCTGGGTGAGGCGGAAGGGAGTGTCAGACTCTTACTGACTAAAAACCAGCCCGTTCCTTCTCCTGCACGTCGAGCAGGAGCAAAAAAAAACCGTGGCCGGAGATCGTCCCGCGATCCCCGACGCCCGGTTTGTCCTTCGCGATGGCTGGGTGGCGAGGAGGCAGCGCTTCGCTGCCTCACGCGTCCTAGGCCCGGACGCGAGAGGTCGCCATCGCCGATTACTTCCCTGAGGGTACGGCGGTGCTCAGCCCACGCAGGGCATTCTCCCACTGTGTGTTCCACCGTGTCCTCAGGGCGGTCCTCGCAGTGACAATAGACCTTAAGTTACATATATAACGCCTCTAGTGACAGGAAAACCCTCATCAATATAGTTATTAGTAGAAAATGATCTCAAAGATTTATTAGGAAAAATTATAAATATGCAATGAGGTTCAATTTTGCCAAAGAAGGGAATTCTCTTTCGGGAAATACCAACCAAAAAATTACACAATAATAATATAACATTCAAAATCTGCGACGTCACAATAGTTGGAATTTTACAATTCTGTCATAATTTCGCGGAAGACGCACGCACGAGGCACATTTGATTTGTAATTAGATCCTGATTAGACCCTCGTTGTGAAAACAAACACATTGAGACGTATTACTATCATGTATGGGATAATAATACTAATTCACACTTAGAACAATGTTTGTAGGAATAGAATCACATTTTTTGGTAAGTACTTCACTGATTGTAAGTTGGATTGTAGATCAGCCTCATAGGGCCTATAAGATAATTGGTGAAAAGTAAGTTTTACACCATTTAGTTGCACTTTTGCCTACAAAGAGGCGTGATACAGTGTTGAAATTAATATTCTAGGCATTTTTTTAATCGGGGAAAATCGAAAATCATCGAATGACTGCTCCCGCCTGGGTGAAGCGAGAGGGAGTGTCAGACTCCTACTGACTAAAAACCACCCCGTTCCTTCTCCTGCACGTCGAGCCGAAGCCCGGTAACCCGTTAGGTTCTCCGCGACAATATTCTAGGCTTCTTAGTCTTCTAGTTGATACTCAGTTTTTGGACATACAATTCTATAGGTAGTAACATTACTGCTAAAAAAATGTGCAGTGGGTTTGGGAGTGTATTAGATAACTGTGAACCTTTGCTCTTATCACGAGAGATGTCACAACATACATAACATCACGCCTTTTATCCCCGAAGGGGTAGGCAGAGGTGCACACAGAAGTAACACTCCCATGTAATAGGGGGTCAAGGGGGTGAGCCCGGGCACTTTTCCAGACTCCGTGCTACTACTGAGATTTTTTAAAAACCCAGTAATACTTTGCCCGACAGGGCAATCGAACCCGAGACCCCTTGCTCGGCAGTCGCACTTGCGACCAGTCGGCCAACGAGGAAGTCATTAGTCAAGTATATCTAGTTACTATCTCTTTTCATCGCCAGAGATGCGGGGAGCTAGTAGATGCTAGAGGCGAGTGTTCTTTGACGTGGACGAGCAAGGGGGCGGGGGGGGGGGCTTTGTCCAGCTGTGGACGTCTTTCGGCTGTTGATGATGATGATGATCTCATATTTAATACATCCAAAAGTTTAATCCTTCTATTCAATTTCCCACGCCATCTTTTCGTCAAAAAATTCTACGAATTCTACGTAAATGTTCACTAGGCCGTATAACAAGGCGTTCAAAAACAATAGTCAATCATGAAAATATAGATGACAGCATAATGCCCTTATAAGACGCTAGCTTTTATCATATACGTGGGAGTTGTTAGCGAAAACGTATGAAATTATATCATTACAATGTACAAGTTTCAGCCCTGAGGCGCCTTAGTTACATACACGTACGAATAAAGAAATGTATCACCGAAATATATGTATGCACTAGCTACTTCCGCGCGGTTTCACACGCTCTGCTCAGCTCCTTTTGGTCGTGGCGTAATGTTTTATAGCCTATACCCATCCTCGATAAATGCGCTATCCAACACAAAAAGAATTATTCAAATCAGACTTGTAGTTAAGGAGATTAGCGCGTTCAAACAAACAAACAAACAAAAAAACAAATTTCCGCTTTATATAAAAGTATAAGATAAGATATAACTTCTAAATAACTACACCAAATCGGATAATCTTTATTTTAACTTGTTTATGACAAGTACGGCAAGGTCTGTGGGGAAGAAAAATCATCACTTTTGACAGGAATGACAGGAAATAATACTCGAACCCGAGGCGGACCACTTGTTATTTATACCTACAATTACCTAAAACATCGCTTGGTAAAACCAGGCCTATAAGTGTTTGAAACAATGATGCACTATTCAATTCAGCATATCATACTAAGACTTGTTGTGTGTTTAAAAATTTGAAAGAGTTAGTAATCGATAGGTATCTTTTTACTAAGTGCTTCGTATCTTAGTTTTGGTATAGGGACACCTAAGATTGCAGGAGCCTGGCAATCTCCTCAACTAGCAATGACCACAGATAAATCTATGAATTGCGAGTAGACAGATCAACAGACAAATCAACAGACGACATTTTTATAATAACTATCATGAGACATACTAAATTAACCCTTTGAGTACCGTCATTATAGACACAATTAAAGAACAATAGGTTGCGGTCACCGGTGTCCTCGCGGTGTTTGACAGTTTAAACAAAAATAATGGCTCATTTACGTCAACATACTCAGTAAAGTTATACTAGTTTCAAATCACAGAGGGACTTTTGCTTATGAACAGAGTGCGCGGCGCGACGCCATACATGAGTAAATCGTTATTTTTGGTTAACTTTTTTTTTCTATAGCATAAGCCGGTAAACGATCAAACGGATCACCTGGTGGTAAGCAATCGGTGCCGCCCATGGACAATCGAAATACCAAGGCGTTACAAGTGCGTTACCGGCCTTTTGGGAATTAGGAATTTGAGGATTGTGGAGACTAGGGACTAGGGAGGGGGGTAATTGGTCCTCTGGTAACCTCACTCACACGACGAAACACAACGCAAGCGTTGTTTCATGTCGGTTTTCTGTGAAGCCGTGGTATCACTTCGGTCGAGCCGGCCCATTCGTGCCGAAGCATGATGGCTCTCCCACACTTAAACTCAACTCAACGACGATGCCGAATTACTGTTACCTCAATTTCCTAGATTAACTCAAAGTTAAAAACAGTTGAATTTAAAGAAATTACTAGTTTAAAACAGTGGAAGCAAACATCGCCTAGGTACTGTAAATTGGCCGCTTATGTAATTCAGTCCGATTAGCTGACGGTCTGATCGAAACAATTAAACAATCGACTCGCCCACCATCGAATCAACGTTTTTATGTTACATTAGAAGCCAAGGAGATGAAATGACTAAGGAGCCGAATTGAGGACCTAGAATAAATAGGTCTTGTGTTATTAAGATTAGGAATGTTGTGTGCCTATAGATGTGAGCAGAGAAGTAAGAATTTAAGTATTTATCCAGTTTTCGTCAATCAATTGTAACAAGATTGAATAAGCCCTTGAAACTTGGTTAAAATGCTTGTGACTGCTAAGCAGTTACATTTACAAAATAACTATTTGATTAAGCAGTTAGGTAAAATCGTTCATCATTCGATCGTTCATCGGGGTCGTGGTGGCCCGGAGGTTTAAGACGCCCACTTCTCATGCATGAGGGTGCGGGTTCGAAACCTACCAACGGCAAGTACCAAAGTGACTTTTTCCGAGTTATAAATACATACCTTCTGAGATTATTTAGACACCACTGACAAACGGTGAAGGAAAAACATCGTGAGGAAACCTGGACTTATAATTTCTAATTATAACTTTGAAATCGCCAACCCGCATTGAGCAAGCGTGGTGATTAATGCTCTAACCTTCTCCGTGTGAGAAGAGGCTTTGCTCAGCATTATTCTTAAGGTCCTCAACCCAACGAAACGATCTTGTTTAAATTGTCAAGAAATACCTTAGTTGCACAGAAATATTTAAAACAGGACAAAACTTCTTTATTATGTGCTTGTAATGTTTAGATGTAATTTTACATTATCATGTCCATTCCATCAGCTACCTAATAATATAACTCTTCTTCTCCAGGTGGTGTAGCCAGTGCATTCTTCTGGGGTATAGTGGGCGACGTGTTTGGCAGAAGGAACGTGCTCAGCATGACTCTCCTACTGGACGCTACCATCACACTGGCACAGAGCGCTGTGGCTGACTACCGGTTACTGCTGGCTGCTAGAACTATCAACGGATTTGTGATAGGTAACTTGGATTCTTTATAGGAATGACCAGAAATATATTCAAGGGGACTCTGATACTTATAAGCACGTTTAGCAAGTACGTATAGTCCCTTTTTTGGGGGGCAACATTATGCAATGACTTCTCAAACCATGGATGAGGCGAGAGAGAGAGTGTCAGAAACTAAAAAAAACTCTATTGCTACTCCTACTTCGAGTCGGAGTCCCGGTAACCCTTATTTTAAATTCAGACCCATTTTTACTTTCATTCGGCCGCTAGTTTACTACACCTGTGAAGTTTCGGAACGCAGTTCTACGGAAACACAGTGTGTTGTCTATTGTGCCATATATCGACAGAAAAAAGGTCAATAAGACACGCTCAAGTTACCTGTTAAAGGGTTTTGATTCATATCGTTAATTAGTAAGTTATCGACACGTGTTTTGGTATTTTTCCCTTCACAAGATGTTATAGTTGACCTATAAGTGTCGCGTGATATCCCGCTTCCGTACATCTTCTATGAGTTATGAGTATTTCTGTACCAATATCATGAAGAAAAATAGAAGGCACTATTTTTCTTCAGCTGACGGTCTCGTTGGCCGAGTGTTCGCAAGTGCGATTGCCGGGTAAGGGGTCAAGTTACTGGGTCTGTAAAAAATTCTCAGTAGTAGCATGGAGTCTGGAATTGGGCCCGGTATATGGCAATAGACTCACCCCCTATTATATGGAACTCATAACATAAATAGTGAAAAGTGGGTGTTGCATAGTACAGTGACATTAGGTGCCATAATGTGCACCTCTGCCTACCCCTTCGGGGAAGAAAGGCGTGATGTTATGTTATGTATTTTTCTTCAGTTTCTATTTCATTTAGATTTAATTCTGGGGAATTATAGCTATCTTAGAAGGCCCTTATAAGTGTTATTTCACTCTAGGATGCCTCAAATAAATCTTGTTCTAAATTTTCCTTTACCTCATCAGGTGGCCCTGCAACCCTGGTGTTCTCCTACCTCTCAGACCTCGTGGGACCTAAGAAGAGACAGCTGTACCTGAGTGTGGTCGGCATGAGTTTCATAGTCGCATGGCTGATTTTACCAGGTGAGGACACTTGATTTATTTATTTTTTTATAGCATAAGCCAGTAAACAAACAGACGGATCACCTGATGGTAAGCAATCGGCGCCGCCCATAGACACTCGAAACACTAAGGCGTTACAAGTGTGTTACCGGCCTTTTGGGAATTTGAGAATTGTGGAAGATTTGGGGATTCGGGAGACTTGAGAGGGAGGTAATTGGGCCTCCGGTAACCTCACTCACACGACGAAACACATCGCAAGCGCTGTTTCACGTCGATTTTCTGTGAGGCCGTGGTATTACTCCGGTCGAGCCGGCCCATTTGTGCCGAAGCATGGCTCTCCCACACTTAATGATGATTACTTCTTTAGTGGATTTTTTACATGTGCATAGGTACTTGTGATATAAAATCATTACCATCTCCAGCCCGTGACAGACCCCTGCTGAATGATTTCCATACACTTCATAAAAGGGTGTTTAAATGGTTCAATAATAAGTTATCTTATTAACAAGGGAACTAATGTATTCTATTCGCCAATTATCTACCACACGCTTTGTATTATCATTTAATTATCAATTTAAGAAGATAATTCATTTCTCTTATGAACAATTAAATAAAAGATAATAAGTACTGAAGACTGTGGTAGCAGATTAACTGAGACAGTCATGAGGTAGCGTACTATAAAAATATATCTATGGATAGTATCAAATCAACCTTCACAATTACTTTCATTACAACTAGAAAGTGTATGGAAAAATCCATAAAGAAACCTAATTATTACTAGCCGAAAGTTAATAAAAAACGTCATACTTTCTATGTTACTATGCTGGTCCTTGGTAGATGAGTTGTTTTAACATAGATATTCTGTATATTTTAACTGATGTTTAATAACAATGTCAACATCTAGACTTGAACTGGTCTAACGGTTCAATACTTAAACATGGATACTTGTACAGTCGCAGTGCAAATATGATTAGTAGTTTATTCAATATTTTTTGTAGGTATTAATTTTATTTTCGTTACACAGCCACGACTAGTGATTTGAATGTAAAGAATATGGGTTATGACTATTCAGTTGGTTTTCTAGGTTAAAAAAGTGTTGTTTTAATAGTAATAGTTGTTTATATAAAAGCACTGATTACTCTTAAGTAATAAAATTCTCTTTGTATCTTATAAAATACTTCTGCCCGCGACTTCGTATGAGCAATCCCGTTTTCTCTCGTTCCCGTAGGACTTTCGGGATTTTTTCTGTATTAAAAACCTTCTTCTAAAAATAACAATTATAACAAAAAAAGAATAAGTGAAATCGCCCCAGCTAATCACGCGTGATGCCGTGACCAAGGGAAAAAGGGATTCAAACAGTCCTAGATTATAACATATTTTTAAGATAATCTAATCCATGTCACAATGTGCGAAAACTGCACCTAGTCAAAGTGCAATAAAACTCAAATTAGAATGCACACTGGAAATTCCAAAAGTTAATAAAATTCACCGACTAAAACTATCGATTACTATCTTTATTTCTCTTATGCGTGACTGTACATCGCAATTAGGGATCAATGTCACACATTTGCAAGTATAAAACATGCACGCCTGGTTCCGTATTGGAGAAATTGATCGTAACCGAGATCTGTACTTAAATAAAAGGAGGAAATATTTGTTTGTTAGTGTGTTTGTTAGTAGATTTGTATTGAATATGCTCTGAAATTGAAGTTTTTAGAAAGTAACATAGGCTATTTTGACGTGACAACGTCTTATAAATTGGTTTGCCGGGTGACACTTCAAGAAACTGCGTTGCGCTCCGCTCACGTTATGCGCTCACAATGAGAGTGAGTGAGAGGCACGCGTCCCTTCCACTCGGGCATGGTTAGCCCGCCTAAGAGCGAAAGAGACAGACTTAAAAAGTGAAAGGCACGCGTCCCTTCCACTCGAGCACAGTTAGCCCGCCTAAGAGCGAGAGAGACAGAGCGAGAGAGACAGAGCGAGAGAGACAGAGCGAGAGAGACAGAGCGAGAGAGAGAGAGAGTGAGAGAGATAGGCATACACACCGGTTCATGTCTTGCGCTTCTATTTCGCTTAGGCGCCCAAGTTTACACGTTGCCAGTTAATTGTAAAACAATATTTTACCACTCAAAGTCGTTGTCACGTAAAACTTTCGCCCGTATACCGACTTTACAGGCAACCAATTTTTTTTAAACCAAAACCACTGTCCAGCTTCAGTACCACCTGATAGTTAAATTATTATGTTTTCGGTTAACTCACGTAAGTAATTATTACGAGGAACTCGACTAGTTTCAAGCCATGCTAGAGGCTCATATTCAGGAGCAGCATTTCGTGACCCGCGACGCTGCGATTGTCGCGCTGATACTCTCGTCAAATTATTACGTGAATAAGCCGAAAATATATTAATTTATTTAATATGTCTCACGAAAGTTATAATATAATTGACAGTTGTTGATAAAAGAGTAACGTAAATCGGTTCATATAATAATTAATCGATGTAGGTACATTATACTATTTTAATTCGGATGTCATGTTCTTGTTTAATATCATAGAAAAAGAAACAATATGAGAATTAAAAACCCAGTTTTTTCGACAATCGATTCATTACAAAATATTATAGGGTCCATTTTTGTCCAATTTTAAAATTCTTGCGAGTAAAGCCGCATTCGAATTACTAGTATACGAACAGATACTTAGTGTTTTTTAAATTACTAATATGTAGTTAGCCTGATGGAAATGTACCGACGTACTTTCACTTTTTTCACCCGTACATACATGTGTTAGTTTTGTATTTTAAAGTCTCGTACAAGAGGTGTAAGTTCATTATTGCTTGGCCTGATTCCGATCACGATGTTAGTAATTGTATAAGACTAAAGTGTGTGCTCTATAAGACTAGGTAATGAAGAAGAGGCATACATAAGTAGTTTGTATACCTTCTTATAATGTTGATATTGAATGTTTGTTACATTGACTAACTGTTTGTTAACGACATTGTTAGATTGCATTTTTAAATATAATCGGAAAATAAGGAAAGAATAGCGGCTATTCTTGCACGGCATTTGCATGGCTAACGGACCGTGCAAATTATATATTATTGGAGTTTTAAAAAAAATGACAGTAGTAGCACGGAGTTTGGAATTGTGTCCGGTACATGGCAATAGGCTTACCCCCTATTACATGGGACTCATAACATAAATAGTGAAAAGTTGGTGTTACATTGTACAATGGCAATAAGTGCCGTAATGTGCACATCTGCCTCCCCTTTGGGGATAAAAAACGTGATGTTATTTGTATTACTGTATAAAACCACGATCTCTAACCGCATACCAAGGATGAATACTATGGCGAACCTTTTTGTGGACTATAGCCGGTTGTTCATGATGATAGTCTTGTTCAGTCTCCTGCCTACTGAAACTGAAATAATCTCTTTAATCTACTGCTTACTGGCCCGAATTACTGCATTCCAATCAAAACTACAAAACTTAAATAAATTCAATGTGCATGTATTCATGTACCGTATTGTTGAACCTGTCTGTATGCTTGTCTCATCATGCATGAACCTATTGTGATGAGAATTGAATTCAGGTCGATCAATCATTATTATCACATAGTCTGGTCTGATTTATGTACTATCTTGATTATATTACAGAAAAGGTAGACTTATAAAAAATAACTCCTTTGTTACTGGCTTCTAACTGCTTGGATGAAGCCTAACAAGCACCGACACTGGCATTATAGTCGACAACACCGTTTTGGAGACTCGGTTGCCAAAGGGGAAAAATATGCCTAACATACAAATTTACTTTATGATTATTATGATTTTGAAACAGACTGACTGACTTCAGAAGCATTCACAAAGAGATGTCTTTTTGTTTTTTTTAAAGGGGAAAAACATCGATTAACTCCCGCCTCACCCAGGCGGGAGAAGTCAGTCAGTGTCAGACTCTTACTGACTAAAAACCACCCCGTTCCTTCTCCTGCACGTCGAGCCGGAGCCAAGGTTACCCGTTAGGTTCTCCGGGACTCCGAATCGGCATCGGCCCTATTGGGCCCCATCTGTGGTGGTCTGATGGCTCTTTGAGGTGCGCGCGGAACGCGACGCGCCATACGCTCGGGACAGAAAAATGTCCACGTTCTATATTAGAATCGTTGTCAGGTCTATTAGTCTTTTTAATTCGTTATCACATGTAAATGTTCCTATAGTGATAAAAATACGAGGCATAAGTCACAATAACATTATTATTATTTATTATTATATTTCATATTTTCTTCATTTAATTACAGCTATCGCCTGGCTGGTAATACCGTTCAAGATGGCTGACTATGAGACCTTACTCCCGATCTACTCCTGGAGGTTATTCCTAGCCCTCTCCAGTATTCCAGGGTTTATCTCAGGAGGGTGGGTTCTCGCCCTTCCGGAGAGCCCCAGGTTACTGTCAGATACCAACAGGAGTGAGAAGGCATTGAAGATCATGGCGTACATTTATAAGACTAACCATGGGACCAGTGCTGAATTTAAGGTATTTATTGAAAATATTACGATGTTTTAAAAGTTTACCTTGTGTTAATTTATAAAGAAGATAAAAACTTTAAAAACGAACTAATTTCAAGTAAAATGTATTGAAAATTATAGGTGTTCCCAATTTTTCCAGTGCAATACATTATGAGATCTGAATACAACCGATCAATATACACAACGAAATATCCGCTCTTTATATTTTAACTAGCAACTAGCTCCGGCTTCGCACGGGTGCAATACACATGTATTAGGTATACATATAAACCTTCCTTAAGAATCACCCTATCTATTAAAAAAAAATCGCATCAAAATCAGTTGTGTAGTTTTAAAGATCTAAGCATAGGGACAGACAGACAGCGGATATCGATTTTGTTTTATACTACCTATGTAGGTAGTGATTTCTCAATTATTTTTATTATACAAACAAACAAAAAGTAACATTGAGCTTGTTTATTTCCAGATAAAAAAACTCATCCAGGATGAGGTATTTGTGGGAAAGACCCTCAGTAGTGAAGAGAGTAGGACCAAGGTTCTGTTCTTGAGCGTCATCAAAGACCTGAAAACCTTCGTCTCCAAGAGTTATGCGGTCAAGTCCAGCCTGATACTTTTTATGTTCTTCGCTAATATGGCTGCGTAAGTATTATTACCTAAATATTTTTGAATTATTTTTGCAGCAGGTATCTAGATTATTTTTATTAAAAAGGTAGGTACTAATTACATACATAACTGAAATAAACTAGTACCAAATGTTGATTACTACGCGACCACTCATCAAAATAATTGAAGAATGCTGGTTTCCTTACAATATGTTAATAGACTAACAAGTTTCATTATTTTATTTCCAGTGGTTTTGGCCTAAACATGTGGATTCCAGAGCTGCTCCTCCGCATCCAAGGCAGAGAGTGCAAGCTGACTGCATCTACCGCTAAACCAGAAAACGCAAGACTCTTTAATGCCACAACCCACTGGAAGGATCTGAAGTATGATTCATATGGCAAAGAGATACCAGTTCCAGGGTTCAATGACAGCAGCAACTTTGATGACCATTTTGGACAGGGAATTCCTTGTGATTCCACTATCGATTCGGAGGTGAGGATTCCACTTCTTTTTGGGTTTGTAAACGTGGTCTGACTTTGCATGGCTCAGATGTCTTGACAGTTGCTATTCAATTATTTATATTATAGAGCTTCTCGGTTCAATGAACTGGAAAGTCAAATAGTCCAAATTAGTACCACTGCCAGGTAAATACTAGAACAACATCAACTATTGGTCAAACGTCGGCCCATCAAATATATAAAAAAACAACTACAATTTCTATGCCATCCTTTCAACTTTGCTTAAAAACCCTCTTTATTACTTTCCAGGTATTCACGTCAGGTCTGATTGTTGGAGCTTGCTGTGTCCTCGGCAATGCTGCATGTGCCATCCTCTGTGCTCGAGGGGGAGCTCTGGGAGTCCGTCGAGCAGCAATAGCTTGCACAGCAGTCTGTGCCCTCGCTAGTGCCTGTTTAGCAGCCACTGCATGTTCCTGCTCCAGTTTCAACAAAATAGCCGTTGCAGCCGCTGCAGCGCTGAATGCAGCATCTCTCAATGGAAATGTGCTGTTGATACGACTTCTGCTGCATGCTTTACCGGCTAGATTGAGGTACCATTTTTTGATTTACTCTTCATTCGGAAGCCCAAGTACTCTAGTGTGACTTCTTGGTCGAAAGATGCCATAATAACGATCTGCTTTTGTGCAGTTTTCAGATATTTAAACGAAATCAATTTTATTCTTCTTCTTATTTGATTCCTGGTTATATTTAAATTTGAATTTTTGTCTTCAGTGGTCTAGGAGTGTGCTGGGGAGCCTGGTGGGGTAGAGCTGGTGGCGTGGCCTCTAACTTAGCGGTAGGGGTGTTACTGGACTTCTCCTGTCCTGCGCCCTTCATTGCAGTGGGGGCTTTACTTGCGTGTAAGTACTCTTACAATTAAGAATATTTCAACAATTGGTCCAAAAATGAGACTTTATTTGTTAAGTTTTGCTCCTATCTATATTAACGATTTGAAATCTCTACAGTATCCATTGGTGCCATAATGGTGTTAAAACTTGGAGAAGAAAGAGAAGAAGAAAGTCAGAAGAAAGAAGAAGAACTTGACCACGGTCAGGAGAAGAATACTGGACTAGACAGATATATATCCACGTATATGTAGTTCCTAGTATAGTGTTAAGTCAAGACAAAGTTAATTCAGTAATATTTGGAGTAATAGTAATTCAATTGGAGTCCAAACAAAATGATGGTCGTCCGTCCAGAAGAATGAAGGAATCGCTTGCTATAAATCTAACTTGGATAATGTAGCCATTATTAGTTTATTTCTACCTTAGAATCTGGTAGTAAAGGTTAACGAAGGTATATTTTGATTATTATTTAGTAAAAAACTTATCATTACCTCCTTGGAAAACCCTTACGCCTCCCTTTTTATAGAAAAGACCAAAAAATTACAAGAATACGTCCTACTAACTATTAGCCCCTACCAAAAATAAATGTTTAACTGTATTTTTAACTTTGGAACAAGGGGGAAACTACTTAAAAGAGGTTTAAAAACAAAACGTTGCCTTATCTTCTACGTACATAGATAAGTAACATTAAAAATACTGTGTCTTATTATGTTTACGTAAAAATAGACCTTAATGCTTGTACATAAGTTCCATTGAAAGTTAAATTGAATTTATGCAACTATACATAATTCATTTTGTAGGTAAATTAGTTATAACTGAAGTTAAAATAAAATTGGTAGTGATTGACACTATTTGAGAGCCAATGAGAGTACTTATACATATTTCGCAACCTGATTGGTCAGTGTTAATGCCAAAAATCGGACACGTAGTTATGTCCCAAAGTGATATCATAAACAAATGTTCTAAAAATGTTTACAAACCATGACATCATGTCCATAGGAAAAATACTATTTTCACCACAGAACATATAAAGAAGTATAATGTTCTGTGATTTTGACAAATGTGTATTAAATTGTCAAACACCAAGCGGTCACCGGTGGCCGCGACCTATTGTTCTTTAATTGTGTCTATAAAACCGGTACTCGACGAGTTAAAAATACATAAATGTCTACAAAATGTTTACAGAACACGGCATAAATGTTTCACAACTGTAATTTTTCTCTGAATTTAAACAAAATACGACAACATTAGACAATTTTCAAAATCCCTACAGCTTAAAATAGTTATTTGGATTGAATAACATATAAATAATATTAATAATATTAAAACTTTTGTGAGACATAGTAAATTAATTATTATGTTTTCGGCTTGCTCATTGCTCATGTATCTGATTGACGAGGAACTCGACTAGTTTCAAGCCATTCTAGAGGCTCATATCCATGAGCAGCATTTCGTGACCCGCGACGCGGCGACTGTCACGCTGCTAGGTACAGCACTAATCGTGTTCCTTACAAACAGTTACGTGAGTAAGCCAAAAACATAATAATGAATATTAATAATATAAGACATTTTGTAACGTGTGTAAAAATGTAATATTTAAGAGCGAAGAAAACGAAGATTGGATTCAAAATCCAGCATCAACAGCCATCTTTACAATTAGTATAAACTCAAACATATCAAGAATGTTTGTAAAACTATTATAATAGAAAATGTAACTTATAAGTTGATCGTAAACATTAATTAGGTCTAGACTAAGTAGAATAAGATCTCGTAATCTTAAGATTTTTGTATTTATTTCTAGGTAATCGTCAAATTAATTAATTCGACTGTTAATTTTTAACCGAAGATTAATACTTGAAGCATTTATAGCCTTTAAATGGTCTTATTTATAATTTACTAGCTTTTACCCGCGGCTTCGCTCGCGTCACAAAACGATAAAAAGTAGCCTATGTGATATATACCAATACATACAGCGCCATCTATACCAATACTTTTGTTATCCCTCGGGAATATCATTTTTTTCCGGGATAAAAAGTACCCTATTATTTAATCCAGACTTCTAGCTTTACTTCTGCAAAAATTAAAAGCAATCGGTTTAGTAGTTACGGCGTGAAAGCGGAACAAACAAACAAACAAACAAACTCACTTTCCGATTTATAATATTATTATATTATATATTATATTATATTATATTATTATATTATTATTATAGTAAGGATTGTAAGGATAGCCAAACAATTATTAGAAAGTCTGTAAGTTTATAAATCTGTGTGTTTGTTAGTCGATTACGTCAGAACAGCTCAAGGACATAACATAACATCACGCCTTTTATCCCCGAAGGGGTAGGCAGAGGTGCAGAAACGGCACTTGATGCCACTGCACAATGTAACACACATTTTACTATTTATGTTTTGAGTACCATGTAATAAGGGGTGAGCCTATTGCCATATATCGGGCACATTTGTAAACACCGTGCTACTACTGTGAATTTCATAATCCAGTAAATCTTTGTCTGACCCGGGAATTGAACCCGAGACCCCTTGCCCTGCAGTCACACTTGCGACCACTCGGCCGACGAGGCAACAGTTGAAGGAAACGGGATGAAATATGGAATAGGCGTGGATAAATTTGGATAGTCTGAAATAATAGCTACATAGGCTATTTTTTATTCGCGAAGCTGCTAACTGAAGTTAGGCTATAAATTATAAAAATGGCCGTTTAAGACCTATTCACAATTACTCTGTGATTTAAACAAAATATTGAAATGATTTTGAGCGACGTTTATAACGTACGAGTTATTTTATTTTAATGTAAAATAATGTGTAATATTTTTAATAACGCTTTAAATAAAATGTTAAATAAATGGCATTATTTATCTTATATACATGTTTTATTATTTTATTCGTATATATAACTAATTTAACAACGTATTTTTGATATAATAGATGTATTTTATTATTATAATCGTTAAGTAACTATACTATATGTCCACATACATAGTAACAATATTATTTAATATACTATACTATGATATTACAACTCGAAAATAATTGCACCAAATTCCATCATTCCTACTATACATTTTTCATTTTGCTATCTAAAAATAAAAATGTTCTTAAGTACTTATCTACTAAATACTCAATTATTTAACAAATTGATAAGTATACGTGTGTAAATACAAAGGTAATTTGTCATAATTCACAACCTAACTATTTCTCTTAACAATTTCATAATGATGGTATGTACCTATTTGGTTTTTCTAATGCAAAGCAATCAACCCATTATGGTTTTTTTATGGGATAAGCCGGTCAACGAGTAGACGGATCACCTGATGGTAAGCAATCGACGTCGCCCATGGACTACACCAGAGGTGTTACGTGTGCGTTACCGGCCTTTTTAAACAGCACAAGCGTGGTTACAGGTCGATTTTCTGTGAGGCCGTGGTATCACTCCGGTCGAGCCGGCCCATTCGTGCCGAACCATGGCTCTCCTACACTTAAAACTATGACATAAAACTTGAATTCATCATAAAAAATAGCGCCATCGATTATATGTTATATATAATTTTTCTATTTCACAATTTTTAAACGACTACAGCGCTACCACACCTTAATTCCTGATCAGACTAAAATAATTTTTTATCTACATATATATATATGTATATACACTCACAATTTATGTCTTCAAAGATTATCACTATAACTGTTACGATATAAAATAAATCACAGATTATAATGGAGACCTAGAAAATTGATATCCTTCAAAAATGGTGTCGATAAGACCGAAAACCCAACGTGGGGTCAGATTTCTACGAAAAGCCGAATTGCAAAGTTCTCTGTAAGCATATTTAAGACTATCGTAGATAGCTGATGATGAAAGATAGAATTCATGAGGAATTTCAACCCTAAGTCAACAAAAAGAGATATTATTTATCTTTAGCATCAACACGGTTCAGGTTCATTGGCCTCTGACAACTTAATTTTTGGGTTTTTCAACATCGTTAGGCTCTCATTGATTTTTGTGTCTGATACTGCTGGCTTGTCTGGAGGCAGGAACCAGGCAGCTACTGCACTCGCTGAAAATGGAGAAGATATGAAGTTAGATTTTAGGTAAAGTTTAAAGGACAACAGGCTGATTATCCTCATCATCAACAGCAGCCGGAGGACGGCCAATGCTGATCAAAGGCCTCCTTCTTAGTCCACTAACTAACTAACCGCTGCAATAGCCAGGCTGATCATACTACCTCACTATATTTCTTCAATGTAGGAAGCTGAAATTCTAGTTGCTATTATAAATATTCTGGTGTCTATACTAACAGAATTTTATTTTCTTTTTTATAAAAAAACCTTGCCCCACACAATATTTTCTCATGTGTCATGGGTGCGTTTACAAACATACGTTCAAATACACATGATACCCAGTCCCGAAACAACAATTTGTGGATCACACAAAGAGTTGCTCCTTTCGAGAATCGAACCCGGTACAAACTGCGCGACAGCCGGTTGCCCAGGCAATGCGCTAATCGTACAGTCAATTTTTTTCTTTCTATATGTCAAGATTCATAAGATAGATATTAGACACAAAAGTACTTACTCAAAACAAGCAGTGACCACAAATAGAAGGTGACCTGACAATGGTGGAATATCAGGTTGCCAACCACGTTGATACCAACGAAGGTACTGCTTCGACCCACCATGATGCTGAGACAAGCAGCCATACCCCTGGAATAAGAAACGAGTTTGTGGGAGAGAATGATATAAATGAAATTGACAAAATCATCCACATTTTAGTTAGGGTTACTTGTTAAAAGGTTTTAGGGGATTTTAAAGTAGCGAGTGATCAAGCTTGAATATTCAATGATGTTCTGATCGTCATGAGGCAGAGGAAAATGTTAGAAATGATATTGATGATGAAAAGGTTAAACTCTGTGGTTCGAAACTAGTAGAGCTTTTCTCAGTAATTTTAGTAATTTTAGTTAAGGTTAAAGATGTTAATGTCACAATGGAAATTAGCTTGAATTTTGATTAGTATGATATTATACCCATAGAACATTATAAATTAGCTTTATATTATTTAAATTTAAGATACATGGAGTCTCAGACGTAGGTACATACGTAACATTATTATAAAACGTAACCAGTGAAAGACCAAATGAATAGGAATTGTTGCTAGGTAATGAAAAATACTATTACTTACCTATAAGAAGTAGGATAAATATCCACAAAGTAGGAAGCCAGGATGCCCATTCCCAAACAAGTACAAGTGAAGACCATGAAGAAGAAAACGCTGGAGATAGGCTCTGGCACCAAATTGAGACACGTCCCACTGATGGAGGACAGGCAGAGGATGCAGATCAGGACTAATCTTCGTCTATTTTGAAGGTAGGAGATGAGGAAATTGAAGAATGCGAAGACTGATTGAGAGGCAATGAGGGTCAGGATCACGTTGTGTTCCACTGTGCCTGTGCAGACTTCATGGGTCTGGAATAGAAAATATGTTGTGATTAGTTAATTAATTAATTGTTATTTTACAAAAATTTGTTTTCATTCGTTATTTCAGTACCTAAGTTATTTTTAGAACAATTTTTTTTATGGCATTAGCTGGTAAACTGGCAGACGGATCACCTGATGGTAAGCAATCGGCGTCGCCCATGGACACCTGAAATACCAGAGGTGTTACAAGTGCGTTACCGGCGTTTTGGGGATTAGTAGTTTAAGGATTGTTGGGGATTCAGGAATTGGGGAGATTGGGGAAGAGGAGGGTAATTGGGCCTCCGGTAACCTTACTCATACGACGATACACAACGTAAGCGTTGCTTCACATCGGTTTTCTGTGAGGCCGTGGTATCACTCCGGTCGAGCCGGCCCATTCAGGCCGAAGCATGGCTCTCCCACACTTAATTTTTTTAATTATTTACCTTAATGAGGTGGTGGTAAATGTAAATATTGTATTAATGAAATTAAAAAAATATCGGGTACCGGTGAAGTCATTGGTAGATAATAAACTTGGAACACTTACAATATTCTTTGTTGAATTTCCAATAGATAAGGGCTTAGTACTGATCAGCTCACAGATGTTTCCAGTCGCAGTCCCGCTGTCCATTGACAGCCTGATGAGGTTGAGGATATACGGGAGCCATACTAAGAAGCTGTTGTTCCTGATGATAAAGATTATACCATAGTTCTTAAACTAGTCGATACAAATATGTAAGAGATAGGAAAGTTCTAGAAGTCAAAAGATTAGATACTAGTTAAGCACAGACCTAACGGAACCTAGCTATGTATACTTTAGAACTTATTTAAGATACTTTGAGACTTTGAAAGGAAAACAGACAATCTTACATCACTTGGATAAAGAAACAATATCTTTGTCAACAGGCATGGTAGCTGGGTACTGCCACCCAAGTAGAAGACGAGCTTAAAATCATCCGATCCACAGCATCTGGAGTGCGACACAGTAAGCGTTACGTGACACTGACTTTGTGCCGACCCGGGAATTGAACTCCCTACCACCGCCATTGGTGAACGTGCCGTGCGTCTCAACAAAACATCGTCGTTAACGCCACCACCGCCACCGCCGGGGTTGGGAACAAAGGCGCGTGGTTTCCGGCAGAGAGCGCGATGGATGCGCAACGGAAGCAGGCACTAGCCTGCGTTAGTGTTGGTGTTGGCTGGCAGCCTACTAGCACTAGCCAGTGCGAAGGCGTCCTATCGCACAAACTGGTCATGAGGAAGAGTCCCTTTGTGACTTGAAACTAGTTGAGCTTATCTCGGTATATTTACATGAGTAACTCGTAATTTTTAGTTCAGTTCGTCCCACGTAGTTATTAGAAAAACTTCTTTGCCATAGCAAAATTAGATCCATTCAGAATAGAACTTTAAATTCAAGGAAATAAAATTCATATTCCCAATATATCACCAATGAGGTTAGTATACATAGTTACAGTATGAAACCTGGTTCTCACGTGATGTACACGACTGCGACGATGTAGAACAGCTGTGCACTCCTCCACACGTAGGGCGGTCTGAAGAGAGGGGCACTCTGCTCATACATGGCTCGGAGGAGACTCATCTGCTTCTTCGGCGTGTAATCCCCTAAGCTCAGAGAATGCACCTGTAAAGAAGTTTAAGAATATTTTATTTTGATGGGGTTTTGGAATATTCTATTCGTCTGTATGGTTTTTTTTATAAAACTTTGCCACACTCTAGGACTTTCACGTGGGTACCTTTACAAACATACAAGTTCACATACACGTGACACCCAGACTCGGGACAACAATTTTTGGGTCACACAAAGAGTTGCGCCGTGCGGAAATTGAACACGCGACACCGCGAGCCGTTTGCCCAGCCACCGCACCAACCGTGCCGTTTTTATTAGATTTCTAATGTATTTTTTTTCGTCCCTGGATGTTGGTATAATCATAAGTATATACATGATACTAAGAAAGTTAATAAGGAATAGTTGAAGCAGTTTTAAAGGTTTGCACACACAATCTACAAAAATGATTAAGGTATTGCTGTAAAGTGATTTCTTTTTCAATTATTTTATTTGCTCCATGTGCACAATGAACTAAAAATGGCGGGTTACTCAGGTGAAAACCTATACTGAAAAAAAGCTCTACTAGTGTCACTGAGGGGTTCTTCCTCATGAGCAGCGTGCTCGGTCGCGGCGATGTCGCGGATCCTTAGGTATCTTTAGGTGAGCTTTTCTCAGTATATTCACATGAGTAAACCGCAATTTTTAGTTAATTTAGTCTGTCTCCTTGAGTAAATCCTTCCTAATAGTATTTAAGTAAAAACTTTTACTTACCGTAAACTCTTCTTTGGAACCTCTATGATTGACTTTGTAAATATGCCTCAGTACTTCTAAAGCCTCATCGCTTCTGCCAGAATTGTAGAGGAACTTGGGAGATTCGCAGAAGAAGTAGATGGCTGCTGCTCCTATCCCTGATGGGAGAGCTAGGACTACGATGAGCAGCCTCCAGGGTTTGTAGACGATGTTAAACCAGGTTATTTCCACTGCGAAGTCTAATTTCAAGGTTGGGTAGGTCAAAACTGGAAAGGAAGAAGTAGATGAATTATTTTCTAATATATTTTGATTATAAATGGGTATGTTGGTGTACTATATTCTTATGTTTCAGACCACGATATGAAGAATCTTTACATGGAATGAATATTGAACACTATTAAAACAAAACGCCTGTATTTTCTTTTCGAATTATATCAAATATAGTCTTTAAAATACTTACTGCCGGCCACAGCAGGAGATAGTAGAATCAGGCAGGTCATGAGCAGCATGTAGCGGTTCCTCACCCTCTGTATACAGGACTCTCCTACCAGGGTATAGGTCGCAGAATTGGCTGCACAGGCACTGAAAAACATACATACACCGTATGTAGTACCCATCCGACAATTGAGTAAAAATCAGACTTTATAAATCAAAATTGAAAAGTCAATTACGAAAAAATCTTCAGTGCAGCACTGCTTCATAATAAAGCATTTGAAAAATAATAGAATATTGCTGGGTGTTGTCTCTGAAATAATTAAGACCCCAGTTGCATTGGCTACCATAATAATATGTCCAGACTCAAGACAGTCTAATAAAGACTAATGAAGTCGTGTTTATTTGATACCCGATCTCAACGATCTTTCATACAAAACAACTAAAAATAGTCCAGACTGACTCGTTGGCCGAGTGGTCGCAAGTGCGACTGCCGGGCAAGGGGTCTCGGGTTCGATTCCCGGGTCGGGCAAAGTATTACTGGGTTTTTCAAAAATCTCAGTAGTAGCACGGAGTCTGGAAATGTGCCCGGTATATGGCAATAGGCTCACCCCTATTACATGGGACTTATAACATAAATAGTGAAAAGTGGGTGTTACATTGTACAGTGGCATTAAGTGCCGAAATGTGCACCTCTGCCTACCCCTTCGGGGATAAAAAGGCGTAATGTTATGTTATGTTAAAAATAGTCCATCAAAAATATTTCCACTCTCCGTTTTCCAGATCCTTCTCTCCAATAGCCAGCTGTCATTATTATTAATGGCGAAATATGGCACTAAGGCATAAACAGCTCGACAGGCCGGTCGTCACAATTAATCGGGTCAAATTAATAAATTCCATGCATTGCGGGAAATCACAACAACATTGATTGTTTATGATACTTCTTAAGAAATGTAAGAGTATTTTCTAATCGTATACAAACTTAGTTGTCGAATGAAGTCGGTTTAAAAATGATAAATTACGAAGCATCACGGTAAGCTTTTCCTTTGATTCTGTTACATCAAATAAACATTTTATTTAGTTATTATTTATGTTAAACTAAGTGTGATGTTCTTTTAGAATTACCATACAGTATTAGCACACTATTTGTTGTTTAATACCTATAAACAATTTAGTACTTCAGCTATTAATTTTGAAATAAACAGCTTTATTCGGTTTCTTTTTACGCAATTGAACTTTAGAACTACAATATCCAGAAGAAGTCAAGCCATTTTTAAGCTCTAATAACAAGATAATAATGAAAAAAAACAAAGAATTAATAAGTATTGAACCAACTGGAAGTCATTGGGGGAGGCCTATGTTCAGCAGTGGACGTCCTGTGGCTGATATGATGATGATGATGATGATGATGATGATGAACCAACTTACAAGCAAACACATAGAAACTTGACGAGTCCTAAGAACAGCCAGTGTGGAGCGAGGCTGCTGATGCAGGACAGGATGAAGGACAGCAGCAGAGGGATGACGAGGGTGAATCTCCGTCCCCTGGTGTCGGAGACATAGCCCCATAGGTAGGAGACTAGAAGGATACCTGGAAAGAGGAAAAATAACTTGAAAATACATATATACATGCATAACTTCACGCCTGTCTCCAATGGGGGAAGCAGAGACTATAGAACGCCAATTGTTACGATTCTTACGTACCTCTTTCGCTTCATCAAAAGTCTTTATCAGTCTTTTCATGCATGGTCGTCGGTTAAGGGTACTATTTGGTGCGATAGTATGTATATCGCCAATTTAGTCGATATATATTTGTCTAAGGCGTCCTCTACCGACGCTTATTAACAATGATGTTGAAAACTAGGACGTCTATTTCAGAGTATGTCAAGAAAAATAGACATATTTATGAAAGAAAGAAAGAAAGAAAAATAATTTATCCGCCACTGGACATGGACCACCGAATATGAACACACAAAGTAATAACAACAACATAATAACAAAATAACTTTGAAAAACAAAAATAAAAAAAATAATAATAACATAAAATAAATAAAATAATATAAAAAAACAGCAGTAAAAAAACAATGAAGGCAAAAAAAACAGCAGTAAAAAAACAATGAAGTCAAAAAAAACATTATAAAAAAGCAAAATAAAAGTATTTATGGTAATTAATAGATTCTTTTTGCCCCCCACCCATGACCATGTTAATGTAGGTAATCACTATGGAGTAACACTAAAGCATACGCTCTTTAGTTCCTATTTATTCTTAAGATTACACAGCTTGTCTCTCCAATTTAATTTTCCAAAGTTATGGATAAAATAAATATTTAAATATAATTAATGACCGTTTTACGATATACCTAACACATGATGCAAAGGCCAGACGCATCTGCATCATTACATTTACTCTTTATGCAAAATTTTAAAACAAATATCTTTAGTGCCTATTGATTATTAATAAAAGAACATTGTTTTAGTAACCAGAGTACATAACCAGAGAGTAACCAGACAATCTGATATTTCAGTTTTGCCATAAATAAGTTACTGTAAAATGTACGACATAATCTATATATATAAAAGAAAGTGTTGGTTACACCACTTATAACTCAAGAACGATCGAATAGATTTGGTTGAAAAGTGGTAGGGAGGTAGCTTAGAGCCAGGAGACCGACATAGGATACTTTTTAACCAATTTTTTTTTTACTTTTTACCGAAAATCACGAACGGGAACGGGAAAAAATGGGATTACGCGTACGAAGTCGCGGGCAGAAGCTAGTAACATATAAATCTTAGACTGAGGTCAATTTAAAAGCTTTTAAAGAAACAAAATCAATAAAATTTTACAACTTACCAATAAAAGGTAAAGATGTGAGGATCCCTTTCTGCACGACGGTCAGCTGAAGATCACAGGCTGCTGCCACCACCAGGCTAAATCCGAACAGGTCTATCCCGATGGCAAGAAGTATAAGGGAGCAGGTCATCACGAGAAGGATATTATACAGGCCGTTACCTAGAAAAAGAAGTAAAAAAAATTAGGATATAATGAACAAAATGCTACAAAAATGTCACTAAATATAAAATTGATAATGGCAGATGGGCACGTGTTAAATCCTGTATCTTGTACTAATCGTGATTTATAAACATCGGAATAGTTTCAAAAAATTAATGTTAGCGTTTTGAGAGTGCCTTTAGCTCAACGCCACTTTAGCGCTTGTCTACAGAGAGAGTAAAAATTAAACTGTATGGAGATGACCAGGGATGACACTGATAAGTGTCAAAATTTATATCAATTCCATATAGTTTGGTTTTCTATTCTACTTGTAGACAAGCGCTAAATGGCATTTGGCTACAGTTGCAGATAATTTCATAATAAAAAATCCTAGAAATATTTGCCAGTCCCAGAAGTCAAATACGAAACCAAGCAAGTTCAGTGGATACACTTGTAACAGTTATAGCAACCACTTATCTAAAAATGTCATGTCTCCATACATAAAATACCATTCAATATATATTTATGTGTGTTCTTCAGTAGCTCTGTAACTATGTGTTCAATTGCATCATTCAATAACATTGATGGACCAGTAAATCATTCAAGATCAAGTTCAAATATTTTATTTGTGTCATCAATAACTGTTGTTTCATGTCTATCAAACATCACGATCTTATTTCCCTGAGTTGGTAGCAGAATGTGTATCTGAACGTGAACGTGTATCTTCATTTTACAGGGTATTTAGACCTGAACTTGATTCCAGATTCCTTTATAATACTTCTTTTTTTAAACCACCTAACCTAGGCATGCCTGAAGCGGAACCGCGGAGGATTTAACGGGTTGCCGGAGCTCCAAGAGCAGAAGTAGAAACGGGGTGGTTTTCAATCAGTAAGAGTCCGACGGCAAGTACCAATGTGACTTTTCCGAGTTATAATATGTACTTTCTAAGATTATTTAGACACCACTGACAAACGGTGAAGGAAAACATCGGGAGGAAACCTGGACTTATAATTTCTAATTAATAGTTTGAAATCGCCAACCAGCAATGAGCAAGCGTGGTGATTAATGCTCAAACCTTCTCCGTGTGAGAAGAGGCTTTGCTCAGCAGTGGGCATTTATAGGCTGTTGATGATGATGAAGAGTCCGACACTCCCTCTTACCGCACACAGGTGGGAGAAGCCATTGAGTAATAAACCCCCAAAATTAAACTCGAGATATTACAATTACAAGCAACTTGATATGGTTAGCAGCAAGTTTGGCAGTCGTAAGTACTTTAAATAATGAACTAATTCAATAATGACAGAGTTTCTTTCAAATATTTTATTAGCTGTCCATAACTAGTAATTTAAATGTCAAAATTCCTTACTTTTTTGGCATATTTTTCACTTAATTATATTTATTATTAAGCACTACCTACTGTAATTAGCATCAGTATGAAATAAATCAAGAACTGAGCTTTAAGAAAATGCACTCGAAGAAAATTTGTAACATTTTTATTGTTTGTTTACTGAATTTTGCTGCGAATTATTGTTTGTTAGCAACTCTGTACTTTATATAACTATATAATGAAACTTCATTAATGTATCATGTTTATTTCCATATTAATGTAATGGAACCACTTATTTTGAACCTTTTTTTCAATTAAATATTAGATAATAATAATAATTTAAGAACTTCTTCAAAACTTGTATATTATATGATAGATAATATAGTAGTAAAACTTTAGAATCGGAAATGTATTTCCATATCCTCATATAAGCTCCTTGATCGATGTATCAATAACTTCATAAATTCAACAAATCCCGAACGACAAAGTTCTATTTACAATACAAAGCTTTCAAAACGCAAAATTCGCAGAGCAGAATTCCCTAAAACTAAAAATATTTAATAATGAACTGAAAACACAATTTTCCTCAATAAATAAAGTTACTCAAGCAGAATAACAACGATAGAAACACATAAGTAGAATGTTTACACAACAATCTTACACACGAACAAGAAACAAAATTTTGGACGCTTCCCAAAATCATCAATATGACAAGCAAAACCCAAAAAACTAATTACGAAATCACTAAACATAATTATTAAAATGGTAAGTAGACAAGTAGACAAAGAAAATTTACGAACACAAAAGTTACTTTACACAGGAAAACAGCCCATAAAACTTCCATAGAAATGTTTAAAATCCCATGAAGAAATTTTTTTCTTAAGGTCTCTATTACCTGTTTTGTCGAGAGCATCTTCGAAGGTCGTTGGGGCTTCTTCACTGTCACATTTGGTGTCCATGGTCTCATGGAGTCACCCACTACACTTCCCTGCTTATAAAGTACTGAAAGCTACACGCGCGTGTATTTCAAAGTCAGCATGGGATGACCGCACAGCTGGCTGAACAAACGCTTTAGTTGAATCCCGAAAGATAATCGTGTGCATATTGCAGGAATGGCTCCCAAAATATTGTATTTTTAGGATTTTTATTTAGATTTTGTTCTGGTATTTTGCCAAGTAAAATTAATTTATAATTTTAGTGTAATTTATACGTAGTTATATTTATATTTGGTTTAAATGCAATTTCATCTGCTTGAGCGAACATGTGAAATTTATCTCTCAAGATAAGCAACAATATTTTAGTTCTCGTTTGTCACTTGTAATGCATTTTTCATTTTTAAATATTGTCTTTGTTAAAATAATTTTAAAATTAGACTAATTATCACATTAGATCAAAACTATAAAACAGATTACTATAAAACGGAACGATAAATAAATAAACTCATTACAATTATTAGGCACGACATTTTTTCCGTCCACAGTACGCCAAACCTTACGATAGCTGAAAACAACTTCAGATCAACCACTGAAATCTACGTAAACATCGAACGAACTTCATAACACTGTGTACATTGCTTGCCAAGCATCAACACTCGTCCAAACCATGGTAATCAAACCAGCAATAGTTGTTAAAATAATGGTGACGACAATTCAATCATGGCAATTTGCCAATAAGGAACAAAATGTATGGACAAGGTCAAGTATCTTACGTTTTCTATAATAATATATGTATTTGTATAACACTGCATGATCTACATTTTACTAAATGAAACTTTGTTAATAAACAATGAAATGCATGAATTTTGACAAAGAGGATAGATGCAATTTTTATTTGGTTTAGATGAATGAAGTAGGTAGGTAATAAAGATGGAGAAATTCAAATTCAAAATCTTTATATCGCTTCTTGTGTGGGTAACAAGGTGTTATTCATAATACCTATATATGTATCATGTTTTTTTAAAGGGGGAATATCATTGAATGACTTCTTCCGCCTGGGTGAGGCCGGAGGGAGTGTCAGACTCTTACCGACTGAAAATCATCCCGTTCTTACTCCTGCCCTTCGAGCCGGAGCCCTATAAGCAGTATCACCATGACCTTGTTAGGGCGCTGCAATATATCTTAAACAATATAAAAGACTATAGTTGGAAATGATAGAGAACGTACCTACTAAAATAAAGTTATATAGAATTTTTTGATTGCCTAATTTTCCAACAAAAAAACATTATATAATTATTCTTCTTTCGAATAAACCAGTATGAAAAGCATATGACGTATGTAAAATTATAAGACATCGACATTTTCCTATAGGTATTTTGTATAGGTAATCAAACTTATTATTAATATTACCCGAAGTATTTTTTCGACAGTGATTTAATGAGAGGTAAGAATAGCCGTCTGGATTTTTGGAAGTAGTCGTTTGTAATCACAATAATAAATCTTGTAATTAAGTTGCGTAGGTATATCACAGCTATCAACATTATTACTTTCTCTAATCTACAAAATAATATATAATATACGATAGCCAAACATTTGGGTTAAACCTGTAATAATTATATAATCTCCCACATTTTTGGGGCAAATCAATAATGAGGAGACACACAGTCTCATTGTTAACCCTGGAATCAAACCCTGGACAGTTGCCAAGTTCAACACCCTAACTTATACGCATAAAGAAAGGGTATTGTCTTTTATTCAAATCCTGACCTCCTTTTCCACAATCACTTTTTAAAAAATACAGAAAATTGTTTAATATTTTTGATGAGAATCAATTTCGACTTTAGTTCCTTCATTAGGTTTAATTATTGAATGTTTTTTTTACTAGAAGTTAACAAAGGATTCAGTATTATAAGTCTTATTGTCAGTGTTTTCCACTGAATGACAGTCGTTTATTATAATTGGAGTTTAAAAGATATTTTTCCGTTAACTTTAAACACTGAAGAAGTCGTTAGCCTCAGTTAATTCGGTAGATTGTTTGCAAATGCAATCACTGCACATAAGTTTAGGGAGAAAGAAATATTCAAGGTCAATCATCAATCAATCATCAACAGCTGGAAGACGTCCACTGCTAGACAAAGCCCCCCCCCCCCTCCCCCTTAGTCCTCCACGTCGAACAACAACTCGCCACTTGCATCCACTGGCTCCCTGCTCCAATATTCAAGGTAGTAATAGTAGATTACTATTGTTTTTTATTTGTAACTAGCTTCTGCCCGCGACTTCGTACGCGTACCATCCCATTTTTTCCCGTCCCCGTTCGTGATTTTCGGAAAAAATTAAAAAAAAAATTATGGTTAAGTATCCTATGTCGGTCTCCTGGCTCTAAGCTACCTCCCTACCAATTTTCAGCCAAATCTATTTTGCCGTGCTTGAGTTATAAGTAGTGTAACTAACACGACTTTCTTTTATATATATAATATAGATACAGATTTCCCTATCACCGGGCGCTTTAATTAGTATTTACTATAATCTACCACCTAAGATACAACCACAAATTGCTTAGCACACAGTTACGACAAGAAAAACATATTATTTTTTTTATTTTATCCGAACTGTTGTGTAATTTCATCAATAACGATTAACCTTGACATGTTATGCCCTTGATGTCAAGGTCGGGAGCGACCCTATACCTCCCGTGTCAGGGTAATGGGCCCTTGAACCGTGGACTGGTGGACAACTAATGAGGATCACAAATATTTTTATTATAACAGTAGCTTTCAGTTCCAAAGTAACAAAATCCTCGTATGTATTTATGAATATTAAAAAAAAATAATTCTGTCTCAATTTTTCCTTTGCTTTGCTTTACTTCAACTGTCCTTACGGAACCTGAGAGCAATGGACATGTTAAAAAAAGTGTAGATAAAACATCTGTACTCTAAATGTTCTATCATCACTACATAGTATAGTATAAAACAAAGTCGCTATCCGTCGTCTGTCTGTCCCTATGTTTTTTCTTTTTTTTATGGCATAAGCCGGTAAACGAGCTGACGGATCACCTGATAGAAAGCAATCGGCGTCGCCCATGGACACCTGGAACACCAGAGGCATTACAAGTGCGTTACCGGCCATTTGGGGATTAGGAATTTGAGGATCGTTGAGGATTCTGCGATTGGCGAGATTGGGAAAGGGGAGAGTAATTGAGCCTCCGGTAACCTCACTCACACGACGAAACACAACGCAAGCGTTGCTTCACGTCGATTTTCTGTGAGGCCGTGGTATCCCTCCGGTTGAGCCGGCCCATTCGTGCCGAAGCATGGCTCTCCCACACTTAGAATGCTTATGCTTGGTATGCTTAGATCTTTAAAACTAAGCAACAGATTTTGATGCGTTTTTTTAAATAGATAGAGTGATTATTAAGTAAGGTTTATAGTATAATCGTGCGTGCACCCGTGCGAAGCGGGTGCGGATCGCTAGTAAGTAAGTCTTATAAAAGAAATCCTATGTAAAATTCTAGACCTCATGTTTTACTGAAAATATCAACATCTGAAAGCATGTCCTACAGTTATTCGTTCGGCAGTTGTGACTTAAACAGCCAGTTTATTATGACTTATGAGACTAAACTTTTCACTTCTGCCTATCCCTAGCCTATCTCTGTCACAGGCAACAAACAGCAGATATTAAAAAAACGGTCGCAGAACATTAGAAGCATTTGCTTCACTGTTCATAAACCATAAATAATGCCTATAAATTAATAAGCCTGTCAACACAATCAGACTACACAATATACATTGGATTAATTAATTTGTTTTTCTTTTGCTAATTAAACAGGACAGTTGTGTTTGTAATACATAGTTGCAAGTGTGGTATCTTCCTGGTTAATATTGATAGGAACGGTCAAGAGCAGGACCAGCTACTCAAAACTGTCAGTTTTCATCATAATAATATTTTTTATTGTCGTTTATTGATAATTTTTCGAATACTTATCAATCAAAACCACTAATACTCAATTACTAAATATTATACATATACAACTTAAGATACAAAAAGATAAAAATAAAATAAAATAAAACTTAAAATATCTATTTCATCGCCTGTAACTAAAATAATAAAGAATCTAGGTCATTGTAAAAAACTAACGCTCATATTTTAAAAACGCCTGTAAATTAAGTAAACGCAAGTGTTCAAACTTCATATTGCTAAACGATTTCAACTAGGCGCAACTAATACCGTAGCTCACTTTGCTAAGAGTATAACATCAGGCGCTCTATATTTAAGTTAGTCTATTACATACAGCCAAAATGTTATTGTAAACATCCTAAATCACCAAGTTTCAAGTAAATGCACGATTCTCTTGTTATCAAAGGGATTTGTGAATATAATAATAGACATGAATAGCAGTAAATATTCCTAAGATACGATAAGAAATAAGCTTTAAATACACAGAAATTATAATATTAGTTTTGTGCGTAGATTGTTACACTGTACAGTCTAAAAAGATAAAAATAATTATATAATGTCTATATTGTTATTACTGACAGTATTTGAACATATCAGACAATGTTTACTTTTTAAAATATTTGTAACTTGATAAAATGTATTTTAAGGAGAGCTAGAAGAACTGCCTCGTTGGCCGCGTGGTCGCAATTGCGACTGCCGGGTAAGGGGTCTCGGGTTCGATTCCCGGGTCGGGCAAAGTATTACTGGGTTTTAAAAATTCTCAGTAGTAGCACGGAGTCTGGAACTGTAAATATGGCAATAGGCTCACCCCTCTATTACACTCATACTCATAACATAAATAGTGAAAAGTGGGTGTTACATTGTACAGTGGTATAATGTGCACCTCTGCCTACCCCTTCGAGGATAAAAAAGGCGTGATGTTATGTTATGTGTTATGCTAGAAGAAAAGGTACATCCTAAGGCATTCTAGACGTAGATGTATTAAATAAAGATAAGGAACTTGAAACATTATTAAAAGTTAAAGACACTGTTAAGAATGCGTTTTTAATCTGTAAACCACCATATTTCAG